GATGTTGAGGCCGAGGGTCGTCTGATGTTGAGGCCGAGGGCCATTGTGATGTCCTCACGCTGAGGCCGAGGGCCGTTGTTGATGTTGAGCCCGAGGGTCGTCCTCATGTTGAGGCCGAGGGCCTTTGGTGATGTGAAATCATGTAAGGCAAAAACTGTTATGACATAGAGTCATGTTGAGGCCGAGGGCCATTGTGATGTGGAATCACGCTGAGGCCGGGGGCCGTTGTTGATGTTGAATCACGTTGAGGCCGAGGGTCTTTGGTGATGTGAAATCATGTAAGGCAAAAACCATTATGACATAGAGTCATGTTGAGGCCGAGGGCCGTCTGATGTTGAGGCCGAGGGCCATTGTGATTTTAAGACCGAGGGTCGTTCCGATGTTGAGGCCGAGGGCCGTTGTGATGTGGAATCACGCTGAGGCCGAGGGCCGTTGGTGATGTGAGATCACGCTAAGGCCAAAACCGTTGTGGCGTAGAGTCACGCTAAGGCCGAGGGCCATTCTGATGTTGAGGCCAAGGGCCGTTGGTGACGTGGAATCATGCCAAGGCCGAGGGCCATTGGTGATGTAGAATCGAATTGAGGCCAATGGCCTTTCCTTGATAGTTCCAGGAGTCCTCTGGGTGTATGTTCCTTCTTTCAGGCATCGACCGAGGGGTTGATTCCCCGCCTCGGCCGAAAGGGGGTCCAAGTGATCCGTCCGGGGGTTCGTCTGTTAGTCCCCCGGCGCTGGGCAATCCCTTGATTGTTCCAGGAGGTCGTATGTTAGTCCTCCTGATGTGTGTTCCTTCTTTCAGGCTTCGGCCGAGGGGGTTGCTTCCCCGCCTCGGCCGGAAGGGGGTCCAAGTGATCCGTCCGGGGGTTCGTCTGTTAGTCCCCCGGCGCTGAACCGTCCCTTGACCTTGGGGGTACCCGTTGTCTATTTACGGCGCAGGCTAGGCTTGGTCGGTTTCCGACGACTGCCGTTTCACCCCCAAGTTTGGGGATTTCGTCACCTCAGCCATTCTTTCAGGCTTGTCGCCGTGCGTTGCGCACTGGCGACGCGGCGAGCGTCCCGCTCCAAAAACGCGGGCCTTTTACAGGCCCCTCGTCTTTAGACACCATCGACCATACTTGGGCATTTGGCCTCGAAGGGGCCGATAAGATGTCTGGATTGTGTTGTAGTTTACTTAAATTCATAGAAATAAGCGGAATACAAGGGGTGCGTTGTTTGACAACGGCTTTGTTAAGATTCACCACTCAAGGCCGAGGGCTCTAGACCGAGGGGATGATAATGTGCCTCGAGGTCGAGGGACCATGGCTGAGACTAACGCCGAAGGCGAGGAACATGATTAACGGAGGTGGCGCTTCTTCGGCTGGGGCTCCTCGAACTCCTCGCCGTCGCTGAGCCTCCCGATTTCATGTTTCTTCATTGCGATGTCCCCTTCTTCTTTATCGGTGTTCTCCCTGGTGTTTTTCCTTGGGGCATTTTTTATGAATTGGTGGAGCTCACCCCGTTGAATTAAGAGTTCAATAGTCTTCTTTAACGAGACACAATCATCTGTATTGTGGGAGGTGCTTTTGTGGTAACGGCAATAAGTGCCGCCTTGGTGGATGGCGTAGATCTCCCTCACCGACCGAGGGTCCTTGGGGAAAAGGTCCTGTTCTTCCGCATAGTTGAGGATAGTGCTCACCGGGTGCGTGAGGGGAGTCCTCGGCATGTCCAGCCGAGGGCGCCATTGGCGTTCGTTACGGCCCTGCTAGGTGTGGCTTCCATGGTCTCGGCCTCCGGCCGAGGGCACATTTGGGGCGGGCGTGTTGTTTATCTTCATCGAGGGCTGGCCCTCGTTCTTCTTGAAGGAGTGGAGGTCGTCGGCGTCGGCGTATAGGCTCCCCCGCTGGAGTGCTCTGAGGTATGATCTTGGGGGGTCGGTGATGAGGCTCTGTGCGTAGGGGCTGCTGCGGAGAACCCCCTGGAAGAGGACGAGGAGGGTACGCTCGTCGGCGCCCTCGACCTCGTCTGTCTCCTTCATCCACCGGTCAATGAAGGACCGAAGTGTTTCGTCAGGCTGTTGCTTGACGGAGAGGAGCTGGGAGAAGTGCTTTCTCGCGCGCTTCCTTCCGGCGAAATGGGTGAGGAAGCGTTGGGCAAGATCTTGCCAAGAGTCAATGCTGCCCTCGGGCAATCGATTGAACCATTCGTATGCTGGTCCCTCCAAGGTGGAAAGGAACCAACGACATAAGTATTCATCTGATGCCCCCGTCATCATCATGCTGTTTTGATACCTGTTGTAGTGCTCCTGGGGGTCAGTTTTTCCTTCATAGGGCTTGATGAGTTGCCCTCGGTACTTTTCCGGGATTTGGGCCGCCAATACCTTTGGGGTGAATGGCGTCCGGGTCCGGAGCTGGATGATGGGTTCCCCGGAGCCCTCGGCTACCTTCTTCTGTAATTCCTCCATTTTGGCCATCATGGCCTCGTATTTGAGGTCTGAATGAGGGGTGGAGGTGGTGGCGTGAGCTTTGTCGGCCTCCATTTCATCAAGTCGGCGTTGGAGGGCCGCAATAATTTCGTCCCGGGGGTCCTTCGGGAGGGTCTCCGCCCCCTGCGAACGAACCCGGGCCGAGTGGGCCTGGTTGATCTGGTGGCGAGCATCGTCGGCATGAAGGGGTGCCTTGCCTTTGTCCCGAGGGGGACGCTCATCGTCTGCCCTCGAGACAGACCCTCCGCTTTCTTGGGGCCCTCGGCGGTCTTGCCCCCCTCCGAGCCGGTTGAGGGCGGAAGTGCGGGGCCTTTCTCTGTTGTCATTGTGGTGGTCCCGGGACTGAACTTCCTGGGAGGCCGTGTCTTGGGCCACTACCCCTTCGTCATTCCTAACCCGAGGGATGGGGTTTCCGAAGGGGTGTGGCAGAGGAGGAAGTACGATGTTCTCCCCAACCTGGGGTTGAGCCGGAGCCAGGGTGCCGAAGGCACCCGGGTTCTGAGTTAGCGTCTGGATGAAGGCGGAGAGTGCCGAATGAACGTCGATGGTGAGGACCGGAGGGCTGACTTGGTCATCGCTCCGGTTTTTCTTCTTGGCCTCGATGCCGAGGCGGGCATCGGGGGCATTCTGCTGGATCTGAAGGCGTAGGTCGACAGCCGCCTGTTCCAGCCTAGCGATGACACCGCCCTCGGGAGCCTTGTGAGAGGCTTCGGGGGCGTTGACGTCGCCGAGGGCCAGGTTCTTGTCTTCTACGTTTTTGGAGTTGGCACGTGTTGTTCTCACCATTTTGGTAGAGGGCTAGTGTTTGGCGAAGGGGGAGGGTTTCTTACTTGATCGTTCGACCTCTCAACGAGAGCACCAAATGATGGATAGTGTACCCGGGGGGTAGCTTATCCGAGGGGTTATTGCGGAGAATAACTAGAGAGAAGTCAGAGCAAATAAGTAAGAGAGAGAGTGTATATTCGATATGTATTCAGCGTGGTTTACAATGGGGGAAAGGGGTGCTATTTATAGCAGTAATAAATGCTAGATAAGGACACGTGTCAGTTTTCTGGTGGTCGAGGGGTCACCTCGACCGGGGTGGCACTGACACTCGCATGTGGCCGCATTAAATGCGGTGGTTGGATGTGACGTTTGTACTTGGTACGGTGATCCAGGCGCATGTGAAGAGGATATTCTGTCGAGGTGGATGCCTTCGGCTGAAGGGTGCTGGGCCGAAGGCTCTTCTAACCGAGGGCTCCTACCTGCCGAGGGTTGCAGTTGCCGAAGGCTTGGTTTTCAAGCCTTGTTCTCCTGTGATGTTTCTAAGCTCGATTCCGTCACTGGTAGCCTTCGGCCATAAAGCCGAAGGCACCCCTTTGCGTATTGTGGGTTGCTTAGAGCTCCATTTTGCTGGGCTTGGCCCGTTTGGGCCTATTGGGCCTGATTGTAGTAGAGGAAGTATGTGGGCCGGGGGTCCCTGAACCATATATTGATTAAAGATGGTTAGCATTAGTCAAGAAAAGTTAATTACCGAAATGTTTCTCGAGAAATATTTCAAACTTTGAAAATTTTAATTTAGAAAAGGTCGAAAGGGGAGTCAATATTGGAATAGAAGAGTACAAAAACTGATTTTGCAATATTTAGAATCTGACCAAGCTCCAGCAAACAAAAGCAAAAGCAAAACAAAAGGAGATCCAATGTGCTCGTCGTACCAGCGGTCTGATGTGATGCAAAGTCAGATTTAACGATCCAGATTTCCCAGCGCTGACAGACACCTTATTCACCTACTCTCTACTTTATCACCACCTCGATCTCTTCCCTTCTTTAATTTAACCTCGGCAATGGCACCACTTTGACTCTTCTTTCGAATCCCATTCCTTCTTCTCTCATTTCTTCTAAACAGAGCAGCCAGCCATGGCGGTTGAGCTGATGATGGATTACAGACATGGGGATGATAATCTCAGCTTTGTGAAGATATTTGACGAAAGTGCGGTGGTCAGAGAGGCTGCGTCTGGGCTGGAGTGCGTTGAGAAGCTTATCAGACTATTGTCTCACCGGCCGCCGGCAAATCAAGAATCGTCTTCCGTTGAGATTGAAGCGGTCACCGGCGTGGCTGTCAATAAGTTCCAGAAAATGATTAGTCTTCTTGGAGAAACCCGGACCGGCCACGCCCGGTTCAGGAGAGCCCATGTCGCTTCCTCGTCGCCGTCTCCGGCCATAGGAACCGCCGTCGACGACACGATTGTTTATAGCCCGACGCCGATCCAGCAAGTTCTGCCGCCGCCCTCTGTCCTCGACCTCCCCCCGCCTCAGCCCGCCGGGAAGGGAGTCAGAGTCTCTTACATGCCGGAGTTTTCCCGGGCCCACTCGTTCAATCTATCGTCGTTGACCGGGGAGACAGAGAGCAAACAGGCTTCGTCTTCTTCCTCTGCTTTTCAGATCACCGATCTCTCTCTGGGATCCTACGCCGGGAAGCCTCCTCGCTCATTGTTTTGTCTGAAGAGAAAATGTAGCTCCTCGGGGAATAACCTTTCCGGCAAGTGCGGTGGCTCCTCCGGCGGCCGTTGTCACTGTTCAAAGAAAAGGTAATTAAACACCGTAGAAGTCAGGGAAATTTTGACTTTTCTGGCACATGATTTACCAATAATGTACCTATATTTGACTTCACGCTATTTAAGGAAAAAATGACTCTATGTGGAATGACTTATTAAAGGGCATTTCTTGGGTAAAAACACCTTTGATGAGTGGAAAAATCGCCCGAACTTAACCTCTTAGATTTCCTGCCACAAATATTTCGAATCTAGAATTCTGAACGTTGTTATATTTGGAGCCTTCGGTAAAAAAAGTTCCTGAAATTCATAGATAATAATAGGGAGAATTCCCTAAACAGGAGTAAAACATTTTTGAAATTCCAAAATAATAGTATCATGTTTTTTATTCCTTGAATATGAGTAAATTTCTTCCAAGTTTGACATTACTAGGCTTTTAAACATGTCACATTACTCCTATTCAGGGAATAAAAAACATCATACTTCTATTTTGAAATTTCAAAACGTTTTTGCTCCTATTTAAAGCAATTTCTAATAATAAATCTGAAAATATTTTATTGAAATTTAGTTTTCTGAATTATTTAAAGAGAATGGCACAGAAAAATGTGATGCACGTCTTTTACTCATTTTGGCAAATTAGCACATTCAACAAAAACAAATGCATTTTAGCACTCATCATTTCCATTATAAACCAACTCTAACGGACAATCTCCTAAGTGATTGATAATACAAAACAAAAACAAAAAACCGTTCACTAATTAAGAAAAAGATGACACTTTTGAGAGTCATATAACAGTCAATCAAAAGGAAGTAAATTGTGTTTTTGACAACACACCGATGAAAAGTGAGTAAGTTATTCCTCAGTTGGTCACTAAGGGGGTGTTTGGATCTGATTTTTAAAACTGTTTCTGCTCCTCCAGGGAGCAGAAGCAGAAGCTGAAGTGTTTGGGTGAAAGTGCAGAAGTGATTCTGATGCTCTAATTTACTCCTAGAATCAGTTTTTTTAGAAGTTGGGGAGGACCAGTTTCTGAAAACTGATTCTGATTCTGCTTCTACTTTAAAAAAGAAGCAGAATCACAATCGGTTCCAAACACCCCCTAATTAATTAAGGATGAAACTCATAGTGAGATGCAAAGTGAGTGTTTATTAGTGAATACTTAAAAAGTAGTTAATTTTTATGAATGATTATTATTGAATTGATAAAGTGTGAATAAATGAGAATCAATTGTAATCTCCGAAATTTTACCAAATATGATACCGGACAAACTTGATTGGACGGACGAAAAAGGTAAAACGGGACAAAGTTAGAGGACGGAGAGAGGAGTAAATAATACTTCCTCTGTTCTTAAATAAATGTAACGGTCAATATTTCACACTTGCCGAGACACAACTTTGACCATTAATATAAATGATTTTGTATTAGTAAAAAAATTTAAAATATTAGATTATGAAAATTTACAATGAGACAAGTTTAACAATATTTTTTTCATAAAATAATATTATTAGATTAATAAATAAAACATACTCAAACTAAAACATGTGAATAGTAGTAATAATTACTCTGTATTATTAGTATTATGTTGTTTATCGGACATACAGGAAGCTACGGCAGAAGAGGGTGATCCGAGTTCCGGCTATAAGCTTGAAGATGTCAGATATCCCTCCTGATGATTTCTCATGGAGGAAGTATGGTCAGAAGCCCATTAAAGGATCTCCTCATCCAAGGTATACTATACCGAGTTTATATTTCTCAGAAAATTTGGTAAATATGGATCTTCATATAATCTTATTTTTGAAAAGTTTTTGTTACTTCTTTTAGAAATTGCTCTAAATAGGAGCAAAAGCCTTTTGAAATTCCAAAATAGGGGTATCATGTTTTTTATTCTCTAAATAGGAGTAATCTGTCAAGTTTGAAAAAAATGTCATGTTTTAAAGTCTAGTAATGCCAAACCTGGCAGAAATTTACTCTTATTAAAAAAATAAAAAACATAATACTCCTGTTTAGGGAATTATCCCTACTACTTTCCTTTAACAAAGTAAAAAAGTCTTAGATACTTTGAAGAGAAAACATATCTAATCGTATTTGAAAAAATGAGGAAGTGGTCCAACCCACCTGGTCGCCGACTCACTCTCCCTTACGGGAGGTCTCGGGTTCGAAACTCAATGGAATGAGTTTCAGCCTATATTATTCCAGGCTTCCTCCAGCCCCCTCCCCCAGAAGCCCTTGGAGTGAAAAAAAAAGGTCGTATTTGAAAAAACACTTTTCATCCTACGACGGCTACAAGTATTTATTAACAATATCACTTTTGTACAAATATCATTTTTGTTTTATTAATTAGTACGTAGTGTCACATTCAGTATACGTACATGACACATTGATCACTTTTGATACACGAATAAGGAGTACGATATGATTATTTTTCACGAAGAGCAAAAATGGGCAATAAGTAATACTCAAGTGCCAAAACTAGCCAAAATTGACACATGCATACACATGAAAATGGACCTGTACACGTTTATCGTTTTTATTTTTTGGCTCAATATATGTACACCTTTATCATTGGGAAGCAAAGTTTTGTATTCATTATTGAATTAATTTCATGTTGGTCCTATTTTTATATCAATTTCACATTTGATCTACGTCTTTTACTTTACTCACTTTTGGTACATGACTATTGTTTCTTGACCATTTCTGGTCCTTATGCCAATTTTTCGATGCTTCACTGGCGATTTAACCATCGGAGAAATCGACAAAAGGCCGGAGCATATATGAGCGAAATACAATAGTCATGTATCAAAAGTGATTAAGTCAAAGATGTGAACTAAATGTCAAATCGATGTGATACTTATAAGATCCCGATCCAGCGATTTAACCACCGGAAAAATCGACTAAACGATTGTATATGAGCAAACAAAAATGATGTTTGTACACACTCTTATACACACTTTTGTACACACCTATGTCTGTAAAAACTTTTTTTTTGTCTGTGAACATCGATTCACAGATAATGTTTTGCACAAACAAAATATTGTCAATGAATCGGGTTCACAAACAAAAAAAGCTTCACAAACATGGTGTGTATAAGGTGTGTACAAGTGTGTGTACATCAAGCATGGTTGATGAGCAAAAAACAATAGTCGTGTACCAAAAGCGATAAAGTCAAAGACGTGAACCAAATATCAAATTGATGAGATAGGTGTATTATCAAAAGTGGAATTTAATCTTCTATTATTACAATGTGAGAGCAATTAATTTATGGTGCGTGCTACGGTACCCAGCCAAAATAGAAGGGTACCATACCTAACATGAATTTCATTGGTCCAACTCAAAATTTCATATTCTATTTACATTTAAATTATTGAATTGAATTTTTTTGATTGATCCATACCTTCAAGGTACGGTACCTTCAATGTACCGTAGAAATTGCCTTCATTTATTGTTGTTTGAGCTTCAAAGACAAAGGTGGAGCATTAAGAGAGAATGAATTGATGGTTGCAGGGGATATTATAAATGCAGCAGCGTGAGAGGGTGTCCGGCACGGAAGCATGTGGAGAGAGCGCCGGACGATTCGACGATGCTGATTGTCACTTACGAAGGCGAACATAATCACTCCCTCTCTCTACCTCAAACTAACACTCTAGGTTTACAAGTCATCTTAGATTCTTAATTAATTAATTAATTAGAGATCAGATCAGATCAGGTCAAAATTAATTACTACCAATTCAGGTATGTAGTAGATGTATTTAACTGATCCTGTATAAAAATGTTGGATCAGTACATGTTTAGTTCAAGCTATATGAGATTTCTTTGAGTTTGTGACCAAGCTAAAGCTAGATTATACTACTATATCTCGTTTAGATCAACTCATAAATTGCCAGAAATAATTTTAGCTTTAAAATGGCTTAAACAATAAACATATATCGGAAAATGAGCTAATAATATTGGAGCAACGCCATTACTTTGAGTTTCTTAGGCATGTTAAATTTCTATATGATTCCCTCTCTCGAATGGAATTGCAATTCATGGGTTTTAAGATTGATTAATGATCGATAAAGTTAAATACTTTTTGTGAATTGTTTAGTAATTAAAATTTACATTTATGAAAAACTTTACAATGTCGTTATTAGTTTTATAAAATAAAATAGAAGGGTGAAGTAAAGATGCTTGATCATCTGGCCAAACAAAAGATTTCAGCTTAAGACGAGTTTGACCACAACACACGTAACAAACTTCTCTAGGATAAAACGGTTTATACGATCCTGAACTGAAGGATATCAACAAACTCAATGATGCAACGACCAGTAATAGAGAAAGCGAAAGAAAGTTGTATTTTTTGGATGATTTTTGGACGCTACAAACATATGTAGACATGGAAACTCATAGAGCTCCAATCAGGAGCAGGACCGGATCCAACATTAGGGACCGTTGGGTCGTTGACCAGATCGGATTGGAACTGACACCTGATCAATAGCATAAAAGGACAATGGTGAGCTTCTTTAAGGTTTCTAAAGAAGGTTCAACTTCAAAGATTGATTCAATTGCATCAAATAATTCAAAAATTCAATCTTTTATTATCCAGGGATTTCAAATCAAGAATCCAGAGCATTGCATTGTCTATCTACTGTTAATCATCATGCACAAATTCTCTAATGGCACAAAAATTTTATTACCATCTGAAAATCCCCCGTTGCCCTTCCTGAGCCATACTTCTGTTGTTCCTCCTCATCAGGTATCTACTAAAGACTAATGAAGAAGAAACGCTACGGCTCAGGAAATGGATGATTCTGATATGGATGATTACGGACTAGTTGGGTTTATAGAAATTGTTGACTAAGAAGATGATTCCGGACATCTCATTATAACTCATTAGGCTATATAACATTCCATTAATACATTTCTTAATATAACAATATATTCTTTCCTTACTAATTCTTAACAATATATTTCTATCACTAATCATTTCGAGTTGACAAAAAACATCCAATACCTACTTTAACCTAATCTATCAAAAACACCCAACACCTATTTCAACACTCCATCTTTACTGAACACCTATTCATTAGCTCATCTTTCCAGTTACAAGTACAGTGAAATACCCTTTACTCTCTCCAAAGTCCTCTGTACAAAGATTGATCCTAGAAAATAAGTTAATAAGCCATTATTTCCATAATGTATTGTTTGCGAGGCTAATATGTGTTAACTGCTAAGTGACAGCTTTAAAAATGATGTTATATGTAAAGAGAACAAAGTAAGTAACAAATAGAGGACTTCAAACGTAGGGTGTTCATTAGCTAAAACATCAGACATAGAAAGCAATTGGGATTTCAAAAGTGTCAAGAAAAACCAATACATATTTTCGAACTATCTTAATAACCACTGAAATTATTCGAAAGTATGTATTGGTTCTTTAATCATCAGTTTCAAATCCAATGGAGTATAATAATACAATCAAAATACCTTTACCTGGACTGCTGGAGAGTGGAGAAGATGATTCAATACTCAACGAAGGAAATCCAGAAATGAAAGAGAAGAAGACTCTTCACTATGGCGGCAGTTCCATCGCAGAGAAGAAAGCTTTGTATTAGCCTATTAGGTCAAAGAAAGGGGCACGCCAATTTTGTGGACTGAGCTTAGGGAAGAAAGGGCCGTCCTTGTCATCCAGCGGTAAAAAAAAGTCAAAAAATGAAACTTTTTTAGAAAAGGTTTGGAGCGAGGAGCGTGTATACCAGGTGGCCGATTGTATCCATTTGGGCGGCCGATTAGTCGGTCATGGCGGGTGATTAGTAGGAGGAGCGATTACAGAGCTGATTACAGGAAAATCAGTACGGGAGAGGGACGCCTAGCGAGTTTCCGGCACCTAGGCGGACGATATATCCGACTTTTAGAACCATGGTCGTGATTAGTTTTATAAAATAAAATAGAAGGGTGAAGTAAAGATGCTTGATCATCTTGCCAAACAAAATATTTCAGCTTAAGACGAGTTTGACCACAACACATGTAACAAACGCCTCTAGGATAAAATGGTTTATACGATCCCGAATTGAAGGATATCGGCAAACTCAAAGATGCAACGACCAGTAATAGAGAAAGCGAAGGAAAGTTGTATTTTTTGGATGATTTTTGGACGCTACAAACATATGTAGACATGGAAACTCATAGAGCTCCAATCAAGAGCAGGACCGGATCCAACATTAGGGACCATTGGGTCGTTGACTAGATCGGATTTGAACTGACACCAGAGTGGGACCGGATCCAACATTAGGCGTAAATATGCAAATTTATTGCAGCGTCGCTGCAGCTCCCGTGTTTTCCAAATTCAGAAAACTAGTAAGAGTTACTTCTCCAATTCATTAAGAAAAACAGAGACATGTCTCATTTTTTTGTTTTAGAAAATGGGTTGGTAAACCTAATTTTCTGTTTTCCTTTCTCCAATTTTCCAGAATCTTTTTTGGTAAACATGTTTTCTGTTTTTCTTTTTTCAGTTTTCCAGTTTTCTGAAAAACTGGAAAATATCTATGTTAGTGATACACACACACAAAGAAACACTTCCAAATATATTTATGTAAGGATTTTATTCAATGAGAAAATATAAGTTTACTCTCAATCAAATACTCGAAAAATAAATGCCAATTTATGTCCATAGATAGATAATGGTTGCCTGCTATAAATTTAGAACCATGTTTGATGTCATGAAATCTTATTGATGGAGTATATTCCCGTATACCCCAGGGGTACCATAATCGCCGATAGAAAGCATCGCAGATTCGCCAGAGACAAGAAAATACCAAGTCCACAATCTGGGCCCGACCCCGACCCCGACCGCCGAGGTCGGGAACAGCGAGCTCAGGAATCAATCAAACTCAGCAGCTATCGGAGTCAACCGACCCCGACCCCGAGGTCGGGAGAATATCGAGCTCAGGAATCAACCAAACTTGGCGGGTTATGAGCCCGACCTCGAGACACCCGAGGTCGGTACCAAGTCTGACCCTGGAAGCCCAACTCCGGGTCAACGACAATCGAGCGCCAGACAGTTGACCATCGCCGAGGTGGGAACAGAAGACAACGGGGCGAATCCTCTCAGCATGAGCCCGTGCCCCCGGGCGTCAACCTCAGTGATTCCTAAGGTCGGAAGAAAGCACCTCACACTTAGACAAAACCCACATAGACTTGACTCGCGGGAAACATCGCCACGTCATCCTCTGTATCAAAGAATATTCCAAACTACCCGCACATGATCATACGAGATCCTTGGCAGGAATTCTATTAGAACAATAATCAATCAGCCAGCTATCAGGGGCTCTCTCTCTCCAATCAGCTCTCCACGTGGCGGCTCCCGGATCATTAGGTCTGGTAGTTTGTTAGAGTAGCTTTACACGTGTCTCTCTTTTATTAGGCTAGCTCCTTTTGCTTGGCTGCCAAGTATTTCCTTTTTTCCTTAGTATAAATATCTCCTTCCGGCTTGTGAAAGGGGTTCTGAACTTTCGCTTCTAAATACTCGATTTACTGCACTTCTGAGAAAAGACATTGAGATTTCGCCAGTTCGCTCTCCTTCATTCTTATTTCGGTGGATTCCGCCCACCCCTGGTCCGACGATCCATCACTTATGTATTACTTGATAATAAACTTGTATCCGTTTGAGTTATATGAAGTCGTTTAGAACAATAGGAAACTACATATTTTGAAATTTAACAAAAAGTGTATCTCAATACAAAGCAATCCACAATTCCATAACACTACATTTGAAAGTGCTACACTTTATCTTCTCCTAATTAGCTGGGGAAAAAATCATTAGAGAAGATGGTTAATACAGAATGACATATGTTGTTCGTTCCTTGGTAAGTTAATGTTTTGATCCATTGTTGCTACTACTTATTCCTTGGTAAGTTTATGTGTAGGTACGACTGAACAAAGACGACTCTACTCCACTCGCCTCAAGAAGTGGGTAATTGAGGGACTTACCGTCTTCAAGCAAGCAAAGGACGAGCCTCATGAGTCCGAACCCGACGAGAAGATCGGTTCTAGCCATCCTCTTCGTAGATGGTGACCATGGCAATAAAGTATGAAGATTTCACACCTTGCTTCATATTGGAGGCATCATGTGTACTCTTTTTCCCTTCATTAGGATTTTTTCCCAATGAGTTTTTTTCTAATGAAGGTTTTTCATAAGGCATCTCCCCAACATGGACAAGGGCGGAGATCTTCCAGTCTCGGAGAAGAGCATATGACTTGAACTACTCCCTCTTAGCCGAGTCTACTACTCGACTAAGGGAGTGAGGGACTCATTATGGGGGTTATGGGACTAGGTCCAGAGCATAATCAGCTCAACCCCCGAACTTGGATCATGAGTCCAAGCCCACGACTTGAGCCAGCACGCCCAAGCCCAAGCCAGCGACTAGCCTACCAGCCCAGCCAGGAGTCTGCCAGCCCGGCCGACCTGCCAATCAGGAAGAGTAATGGTCAAGCAATTAATGCACTATTTAGTTATGTATTTAATTGTGTATTAATGTTGTAATTAATTAGTCATTATTATTGATAACATTTACGATTTGTAAACGTCTATAAAAGGCAACTGTGATTCAAATGAACGATAGGCTATTTCTGGATATCAAACTTCTTTAGCTACTTTCCATTTCCGTACTACTTTCCCAATTCCTGCTCGAGTGTCTAACGTAGCTTTCCCAAAAGCCTACGAGTGTCCTATTTTAGATCAACAAACAACACATTAGTATTATAGCAATAGATTTAAGTGTATGTACACGTGTTGAACTTAATTAAACCATAAACATTACATGTCAATATCTTGCAAATCATAATAAATCTAGTATTAAACATTAATTTTCTTAAATTAAGAATTAAGAACTAAACATAGTACTGCCTCTGTCTCTTAAAACTTTGCCAAAGTTGACCGGTACGGAGAATAATAAAGTGAAAACTGTGTGGTTGAGGTTTGTGCAGAGGAGAGAGAAATAACATAAACCACAAAGTAATTGATTAAAAGGGAAAGTGACAAAGTTTTTTGGGACATCCTAAAAAGGAAAGATGACAAAGTTTTAAGGGTCGGAGGAAGTATATACTTGATGATTAATAAATGGGAGAATTTCCTAAATAGGAGTAAAAAAGTTTTGAAATTCCAAAATAGGACTATCATGTTTTTTATTCCTTGAATAGAAGTAAATTTCTGCCAAGTTTGGCATTACTAGGCTTTAAAACATGACATTTTCTTCCAAACTTGACAGATCACTCGTATTCAGGGAATAAAAAACACGATACTGCTATTTTGGAATTTCAAAACGTTTTTGCTTCTATTTAGAGAAATTTCTATCAATAAATAAAGTAACAAGTTTTAAAAAGTTTGGTTTATTCAATTTGGTTTTGATATGTGAAATCCAAAATCGAAACAAAACAACTTCGATTCGGTTTTTATAGTTTGATTTCGATTTTTTTCCGGTTGTTTTGATTGCGGTTTGAATTTTTTCTGTTCTCTTTTTCCTATCCACCCCTACCCTCTACACAAGGCTCCAAGCAAATTATATCCTACACCCGGCCCTGGGTGAACATGTACACCCGTTTTTTTTGCAATTAGTAGCAAACTTGAGGATAAGTAATAGGCTAATGCTTCACTCTTCCTTTTTTCCCCGTCGAGCTTCCTTTTTTTTCCGCCGATGCTTATGAGCACTGCCGCACTCTCCAAGCCTTCCTTCAGTCGCAGGTGGCCTGGCTGTTCTCCTTTCTTTTCTTTTATTTTCTTTGTTTATTCTCCTTTTTTTATTTTTTTGTTCTCCTTTTTAGCACCCTTCTACTTTAATGGTATATTCAATTATTATGAAAATGAAAATGTGTAATATAAAATATTATTAAATGTTTCAGTTTATTTTTTAGATTCATGTTGAAGTTGATTATAGATATATGAGCACAAACCATGATACTCAATGAACATTTTGTAAGTTAGGTATGCTTATCTGGTACTAATATTATGCTCATTTTCTAAGTGACATATCAATGCATTTTTTAAAGTACTATTTTACATTAGATTCACGTATTGAAATTCATAGGAGTTAATTATAAGTATAATTTAATAAATTTTTATAAAAGAAAAAAGAACAAAAAGAAAGTGAATTAAAAGTTATGAAGCAGAGATCATCATTCTGAATATTAGACTCCTAATACTCAATGTAATAGGTCTGATGCTCATTAAAAGTTCATTAGTGCTCATTCATCAGAAATCGTGATTTTCATCTCAATAGCGGAAATTTAATGCTCAATTAAAATGTCGTGATGTTCAGCTAACAAACCTTACACTTTTCATATCAATGTGCATTTTGTAAGTTATGTACGCTCATTTGATACTAATGTTATGCTTATTTTTAAAATGTCATATCAATACATATTTCCAAAGTATCATACGATAGTATTACATTAGACTTACATATATTGAAATTAATAGGAGTGAGTTATAGATATAATTTAATTCTGAGTAAGTTTTTATAAAAGAAAAAATAAGAATAAGAAAAAAGAATCAGAAGATATGAAGTACAATATTGCTCATTTTGCGGAAGTCGTAATTTTTCGTTTAAATTACAAAAATGACAATGATTTTTTTTTGACCTATATTAGTGATTGTGGTTTCCTGGTGCACGTACACGCCCCGAATGCACTATATATGGGCTGCACTCCGTCTCTTTGCCACCGTACAGTGTGCTATCAAAACTGTTCCGGCTGACGGATCCAATGTTGGGAGGAATTGCTCGCGGTCGTCTCGCCGAGGAGCGCAAAGCATGGCGCAAAAATCATCCTCATGTTCGACTCACTCTCTTATTCATTTCCTTCTTCCCCTTCTTATTTTGTGTCTCTTCTTTCACATTTCCACATGTTTTTCTCATTTGAATCGCAATCTTCAAATGATATTAGTATTTTAGATTCTGATTTTTGTGTCATTTATATTTGATTTTTCTTTCAATAATTTCAGATTTTGTTTACTCTAGGGTTTTGTGGCTAAGCCTGAGACACTTCCTGACGGATCAGTAAACTTGATGGTTTGGCACTGCACCATTCCAGGAAAGCCCGGTGTATGCACCTGTATACCCTTTTACTTTCACATACGAGTATATTTTATCAAAATTGTCAACCTTACTGGTAAGTTGAGTTGGTTGAAGGTAAATTTGGTTGATGAAAGGTGCATACTGACATGCTTTAATAGGGTTATTGAGCAATTTTATGAGGGAGTTCTCTTTATGCTGCTAAATCTCTTACAGCTAACATCTATATTCAGTTTATCAGACTTGTCTGCCAATGAGTAGCTAAATTGGCATTCCAATTTGGCAATGTTGGTTCCTATTTTAAAGAAAGAATGACTAAAATAGGACTTTCAGCTTTTCATCGAGTATTGGCAATGTTGGCTTCATTTTAAAGAAAGAATGACTAAAATTGGACTTTAGGCTTTCCATTGAATAAAAATAGGACCACTTTTTATTATTTTCTATTAGCATTTTATATTTATAAGCCTCGCGCACATTAGCGTCCCCTCAAGGCAAGAGTCTGGAGAAAGGCCCCACCACAGGGTGTAAAGGAGCAACTAGCAAGCCTTCCCTTGTCATTTTGACAAGACGCCACTCTCAAGACTTGAATCTGTGACCTCTTTGTCACACAACAATACCGTAAGCGGTGTAGCAAGGCTCCCCTCCATTGTTTGTCCATTAGCTTTATGGGTGAAAATATGAAGCCATTTAGTTTTTCAGGCATTGAAAGTAGGAGGCCACAGACTAAGGGAGCCTTATGCTCCTATGGGAATTGTGTGATGTTTCTAAGCTATAGTAATGGTTGAAAGAAGGAAAAGGAGGATGCAAAGAACCAAAGGGCAAGAGGAGGGGTGCATGGAGGGGGGATAGGGAAGAAGAAGAAGAAGATGTGTTGCATTCAGTATTAAAGTTATGCGACCAAAACTACTCAATTGAAAAATATTGGGTCAAAATAGTCAGGTTGAAAACCACAATTAAAGCTATTATTTTCGTTAATTATTTAAATATATACATTTAAAAAAACGCTATATAATTCAAAAGATTTAGCCATTTCAGACGTAATTTTAGCCACTTAAACCATTTCACCTGTCTCAAATTTTACCAAAGGGCTCTTAAATTTATGCATCTAGTCTTATTGTTCAAGCTTACAATTGATAAGATTTATTAGCAGCCCCAAATAGCAGTTTTTACATTATTTGATGGTGAATTGTACTAATTCGATACAAATATTATTGATTTACAATTCAAATTTTATGCTTCTCTCAAATGATTTTGCCCACAATAAGTGGCACTTTTTTACCTGAACTTGGCTTTTCTCTTAATGATATAATCTGAAATTTGATTTTTGATCACTTGTAAGTAGGAAAAATGGATAAGTTGTGTGTAAAAAATCATGTTACTTTCATAATTAATCTAACTGGAATATTTTCTAAATGTTGCTTTGATGCATGGAACTGCAATTCCCTTGGTACCTAAGTAGCAGAGAAACGGGGAACGTAAAACAGGAAAACATAACATGTGATAGAGTTTAAAAATAATACAGGATACAAACCACCGGAGAAACACATGAATGTTAAAAAAATGTAAGGATATGTTTCTAAGTATTTATATATATACATATTTTTCCAAAAATATGTGTACATATTTTTTCATATAATTTTGCTAAATAACTAATGATAAATTAGTCAACATTATCAAATATAGAATTTATTACATATTAGTACATAATTAAACTTAAAAGGCAAAACATTTCTAGCAACACTTGTGCCACGAATTATCACCAAGACCCTAAGACCAAATTGCTATGAAAAATCTCATAACAAATCCATTGCAAAGTTTCTTAAGTGAACAATATTATCCAACAAGAGATACCATCAAAAAGAAAAGAATTAGAAGCAGAGTCTTTGAAATGTAAATTAGTTAGTGAAATGGGTTCCCAAATCTTATGGATGCCTAAAATGCCCCTGAAACGGGTATTGAAGTTCTTGACACACCTCCGAGTTTCCAGGCGAAACGTGAGTCCTGTGAAGTTTCTGTAGTTCGTAGGTTGGTACAGTTCTTTGTTATAGAACCATATTAAACTTTTGTAGATAGCATAACACATATTTTCAGACTTTTGTAGAGAGCATTTGATATAGCTTAAAGCTTATATCACCAAAGGTGTTTTGTTGTTGTTGATTTATATGCATTGTGAATAATATAGTACTACGTAGATTATAAATTGGGTAGAAGTACTGGAATGTATAAGACTATAACCAACAATGGACAACCTGTTCCAATGAGTTTACCAAAAACATTACTTAAGCAATCATCCCAAAGAGCTGAAGGTGTGATACGTTGATAGAATCTGGACAGATTTGTAACAATTTTCTCTAGCTATTGAACTAAGAACAGACCAATCAATTGTTTATTGCAGTAAGAAAAGGTTCCCGTAGGAATACAAGTGTTGGGACTGTTCGAGAAGCCCACTCTCCAAGCCAAAAGCCAACTGAATAACAACCTGCCTTCTTTAGCTACTCCCATATCTATTTATAGTTAATACTCCCGTAGGGGTAGACTACTAATATAGCCCATAACCCTTTCCCTGCTATTAATATTTCAGGCCCACTTATTATTATCTATAATACTAGGCCCAACTTATTATCTATTCCTATCATTACTCCCCTCCTAAACAACCACCTTGTCCTCAAGGTGGGTGATAAGGAATAGCCATGATCTTCAACTTCCACTTCATTCTTGCACCTCTCCCTTCCCAATACCTCCCAGATTGCTTGGCCATGACCTTCATTACTTGACCTTTCATCTTCACTTCTTTCACAGCAAACAGGAACAAAAGCTGGATATGAAAACTCCCTGGAATTACGTTGTCAACGATGATACTTCTTTCACCCATTGCTGCATTGTTCCTATCCCCATTTCCACTTTGACCAAGATTCTGACATAAAATTGAATGAGGTCCTACATGTTTTACGTGATAACCTAACCTTGAAGCCTCTTCATTGTAACCAATATCATCATATAAAGGTTCTTCATGATAAAATCCAGCTGCTCTTGTAGTAACTTCAGTTGCTACATCATAGAGAACAACAGCAACTTGCTTACCCAGATCTTCATCATAATTAAGCAGTCTCTCACATAAGGCAGACATAATCTGAGGAGTTTCAGCTCTAAATGGATCAAAGAACAAACCAGTTTTAACCTTTTTAAGAACACACATACAAACTTCAACTGATTGATCAATCCACCACTTCAAAAATTCCCTGACTAACGGTTGAAAAACCATATTGATTACAAATTTGGGCATAGCCAAGAGGCCCCAAAGCAAGCTACCCACTTCTAATTGTGTATCCTGTAAATCAGTCTCCTGTTTGGATTTCATCATAGGAAAAATATAGGTGTAAACCACTTGTTGAACAGTTCCATAAAGAATGTGCAGTCCATCCAGCCACTTTCCATCAATTTTGACCCCACTCGCAATTTCTGGCTTTAAAGATAAATTCATGAGTTGTTCCCTCTTGAAGGCATCAATTCCTGCAGCCTGAATAGGAGGGCCCGGATCCACAATGATTCTACTCAACTGGTAATCTAAAAGTTGAATAAGGTCATAGTCATTATCAGGTTCCAGAATTGATGGTGCAACTGACGTCAACTCAGGGGTCAGTGTAGGTGACTGAGTTTCTGGTGATCCATTTTCTGATTCAGAGTGGTCCCCGTAGCTGAGAACTGTTGAACATGACAATGCCTTGGCATGAACACACCTCACTTTTTGAACCGGCAATCTCCTTACACTTTCACCACTAATCAAGGCATCTGGGAAGATAGCAGGATTGAGTTCATTTTCAATCATAAACCCACAAACATCATAGGTACGCATTCGTGTTTGAGACAGGCCCTCCTCATCAGCCCCTGTGATTTTGTTGATCAGTTCCAAGGCCGTCTCAGTGTGGTCTGTATGATTTCCTTCCTGACCGCAAGGAATTTCAAGTTTGAGGGGTGCTGAATCTTCAGAGGGAGGTTGCCGTTGATTAACAGACTTAAGCTGCGAAGCAGGAGGATCTGATGGTGACAAAACCTGCGTACTCTGAGTCTGCGAACGAGTAGAATGGATTGGCGACTGTGAACTGAGAGAATCTTCTACTTGCGACGCCGTCTGCCCACTACGAGCTACTGTTCGCGGCGAATCTAGCGAACCGGAGAAAACCTCTCGCGATGACGATCTATGAGGAACAAGTTGTGACGGAGAACTGGAAGGGTGTGAAGCGACTGGTGAAGACATCTTCGACCTTGTAGTAACCACTCGCGATCTCCCTCTCGCCTGAAATTGTTCGTTCATCGCATCTAGCTGTCTGGCGATGTTTTCCATCATTGATCGCTGTTCGATCATCGCTGATCGCAATTTATCCTTCATCTCTGCTTTCATCTCCTCCAAATCTCGTTCTATATTGTCAAAATTCTTTTCCATTCGAGGCGTCATATAGAATTCTTCCATTGCTCCGGTAGTTAAAATTCTCGACCGATTCAGAACCTTGGCCTCCAGGAAGGGAATGCTCTGGGATGATCGATGATTCCTATTCTCTGCCTCCAGGAAGCGGCGTGCTCTGATAACAATGATAGAATCTGGACAGATTTGTAACAATTTTCTCTAGCTATTGAATTTAGAACAGACCGATCAATTGTTTATTGCAGTAAGAAAAGGTTCTCGTAGGAATACAAGTGCTGGGACTGTTCGAGAAGCCCACTCTCCAAGCCAAAAGCCAACTGAATAACAACCTGCCTTCTTTAGCTACTCCCAAATCTATTTATAGTTAATATTCCCGTAGGGGTAGACTACTAATATAGCCCATAACCCTTTCCCTGCTATTAATATTTCAGGCCCACTTATTATTATCTATAATAATAGGCCCAACTTATTATCTATTCCTATCATATGCTAGCTATACGTCCCAGTTAGACCTGCACTGTTAATGTTGATTTCTAGCCAGGCTAAGGTTCATGGTAGGAACTTAAGAGTCAGTATGGCCGTACGGGTGTAGGATTTCTGCAGGGAAGCCTTAGTTTAAATCTTGATACATGTCTGAGATTTTATTAAAAGTGAAAAGAGTAACATAATATGTGATGTATAAACTTCAACCTTTTATTTTTGTTGTTAAAAATCATAGTAGTCAATGGCTAGATATGGCCCACGCCATATGCGCCATCGCCATGAAAAAGTGGTTGTCGCGGTTGTCGCCATAGTGCCATATGCGCTATATGCGCCATTCGTATGTGAGCCATCGCCACGCGCCACGAAAAATGCCTTTGAGCCATGGCGATTGCCATGCGCCATGACAACTATATTAAAAATATTCTCTGTCATGATATAAACTAAACCCTCCAAAATCTCCACCCATACAGCCATACCATTTGTATCCCCTCCATCCAGTCTGGTCCTCTGTCCCTGAACTTGTCCTTTATATTTTAGGAATTAGGACTGAAACCATGGTTCCAGACTTTGTTGTTCTTAACCATAACGTGTAGAGTTGTACTTCATTGCTTCATGCCAACATGTAGGGGCTGCAACATAATTGTTAGGGCTGCCAATAGTTAAAACTAAAAAATCAAAAGTAAAAATGAAATGTGCAGGGAAGCAAAATATAATTGTTTTCCCTCTGTCTTATTTAAAGTTGATGCATTCTTTTATGGAATATCCTTAAATACAGTCCTCTTTCCGTATCTGGTAAAAAAATGTTATGAATATTCTCTACTACCCTCAACCAAGTAACTAGTAGTGTAAAAAATATACTTTAAAGTAAGTCAGTAATATTTATCTACAACTAAAAAATACTCAGTATCTGATTTCCTTAAAATCAGTAAAAATCAAAGTAGAAATTTTATTAAGGGATGGACTCTTGGAGGGTGTAAAAAATAAAGTCGATATTGCATGCACCTTGTTTTATGATCCTTTTTGTCCTTGGACCTTGAGATGCTGGTTCAGAACTAAATAGAACTTTGGTCACTCCTAGCCTCCCTTTATAGGGAGTTGGTGTTGGTTTTCTCCCCTGCCCCCTCCCAAAAAACAATTAAAATGGAAAGTGGAAAATAAAACTACCTATGCTGCAAAGAACGTCATGTTCACTACCAAACACCCCTGATATTATTTTGCCTATCCATTTATTTCTTCTTGTAGAATCTGAATGTGCTCCTGAATACTCCATACTATTCTCTACCTGTTGGTGTCTGAAGTATTGCATGGAGAAACTTTTCATATGCTCAAATCCTGATCTCTTTGAGCAACATTTCTTATTTTGGTTTTATAACTATATACATTTCACAGACTGACTGGGATGGTGGTTATTATCCACTTACAATGAACTTCAGTGAGGACTACCCGAGCAAACCGCCGAAGTGTAAATTTCCACAGGGTTTCTTCCACCCTAATGTCTATCCTTCTGGGACAGTTTGCCTCTCAATCCTTAATGAAGACTCTGTATGCAGCATATGCTAAATATAATTAAGTTCAAGCAAATTATGTTTAGTTTGCTTATCGATTGTGTTCCATTGTCTTTGGTTGTCTCTAGGGGTGGAGACCAGCCATTACAGTCAAGCAGATTCTCGTTGGTATCCAGGACTTGCTAGGTCTGCCAAATCCTGCTGATCCAGCTCAGACCGAAGGCTATCATCTCTTTATTCAGGCAATTTCTTGCATCTCTATTTTTTATTATTATAATAATATCTTCACTGCAACCATTGGTCCAGATTAGGTGCACCACTTAATTAATTCTGTTATTCAGCTACACGGAGATGCCAAAAAAACTTCAAAAAAGTATATTTATGTTATGAACCATCATTTATTCATATTTATAATTTTTGTATAAAAGCATGTTGAAATTTTTATTTATTTTTGTGTGTAAAATCTATTAAATTACATGTAACAATATACAACTTGAATTTTCATCATAAAAGATAGTAAGTACTTTTTGTAAATGAATATTATGACGTACTCCCTCCGTTTTTTATTAACTGTCTCGTATTCCTTTTTGGGACGTTTTTAATTATTTGTCTCTCTTTCCTTTTTTGGTAAGTTTTTTCAATCAAAATACCTTTATACCCTCACTTTTATTACCATTACCCATTTCTCTTTTCTACTTTTTCATTTACCCACAACCCACTACAACTTTTACACTATCCCTATTATTTTCCTCTTAAAATCCGTGCCAAAGCTTAAGAGGACAGATAATAAAGAACGGAGGGAGTATATTCTATATTAAGTATTAACCTCCACATGTAAAACCATGGTCCATATTGTTTGATGTAAGATTAAGCACAAAAAAAGCATAATAATAAGAATGTGTTGATGTGTTTATTATAAATATTAAAGAATGTTATTTTATAAGATAAATATATTTTTTGAACTTCTTTTTGACAACTAAATGACTAAAATAAGAATTTGTAATATGTATTTAAGTGGTACACCACTACACCGAGTTGTGCACCAGGTGTACTAGGGGTTAAGACGAGTCAAGCCGTTCATGAGCCGCCCGATCAAAACACGATTTGGTTTTGTCAAACTCAAAACCGAGTCGGCTCGTTAAGCAATCTAGGCGAGCTCAAGCTCAATTCCTTTTAGCTCGTGGGCTCGCAAGCCATAACACACACACACATAAATTTTACATATTATATACTCCCTCCGTCCCTAAATAAAAGCATCTGTTTCCTTTTCGGGCCGTCCCTAAATAAAAGTTCTCTTTCCTTTTTTGACAAACAAAACAGTGCAAAACAGTGCAAAACAGTGCCAAACAGTGTCCAAACAGTGCCAAACAGTACCAACCAAACCCACTTTCTTAAAATGTGTGGAAAACGAATGGATACTTTTATATAGGGACGGAGGGAGTATATATAATTTTTATTTATATATTTTAAGTTTAAATTGATAGTTAAATACTTTGTAAGAAGTAAAAATGCCAGTGAAGGAGAGGGAATCTAATAAAATGAAATGATCAAGTACAAATACGGAGTATTATATATGATATATGTATTAGTATTTTCAAATATAATATTAATAAATTTGAAAAGAGAAAATCGATTGTTAGCAGTACTCGAGCCAAGTTCGAGCACTTCAACTCGGCTCGACCCTAGGTGGTACACATGATCTAGTCTGCTTAACTGGGAAAGAAGTGTGGTGCCTCATTCGTTCTTTAGGGATAAGAGTCTGAATATGTTGCAGGACCCTGAGGAGTACAAAAGGAGGGTACATGAGCAGGCCAAGCAATACCCAGCTATTCTGTAGACATATTCGGGTTTAACTGCTTCCTCTTGGACCCTTTAGTTGTGCATAATTGCGGTGATGGCCTTCACTATTTTCTGGACCTCTTGGACTATAGCTGCTTTAACCTGTAGAAATTCTGTATAATTTGCTCATGTTTTACAGACTTGCTTTGATGGGTGATTGATAGAAATTCATCAGTTACTCCACTGTTTCCTCGTAACTTTATTGTTTTATGGAAATGTATACTCCGTACTTTATAAACATAGAACCAGACTTTGTCCGGTTAGACCCCTCCTTACTCACGTGATCGGGAAACAGTCCGGTAAAGGATCACAACTTGGTTTGGTCCAGGTTCCAAAAAATGTAGGCTCATTATTCAATTTTAGTCCTAATATATTCATTACAAATCAACTTAATATAAACATACTCATTTACTAATTACTAAATTATTAGTAGATTTAATCATGAAAAATATTACAATCGTATCAAAAGAAGTACTATAATTTATAATTCTTTATTCTAGACTTAATTTTATTATGTTTTTGTAATGTCATTTAATTAAAACATGAAATTCATTTCAGTATTTAAAGTAATAATTACAATCAAATAATAAAGGGTGTTTATCAAAATATGACCTCCCAAGTCCTAATTGTAGTGACTTAGCTATAGTAGTAGTAACTTATGTTTAATGTTTATACTTGAATGATCATGATATTATACTCATAGTAATTTTAGTTATATATATGTAAATAAATCTTATTTAGCTAATATTTTTGAAAAATCCTCCTCTTTTAATGATTTACTATATATAAAATCATTAGAAAGACATATCTCTACCATTTTACAAGTTTTTTTTAAATATTAAACTTACATAGGTACATAGCAAGAAACATCTAAAATTTGTTGATGTGTAAACGTAGCAATGGTCCATCTCTGATAGATGCACAAGTCAATGATCGAAGTACTAACCAATGTCTTACATAGAGGATAGTGTTTGTGCACAGAAAATAGTTGTCTACGTTAATAAATTGTGATTTTTTTAGATTTTTTTACACGGATAAAAGTTCTCTTGCTCAAAGACAATATATATTTATGTTAAAATTTTTAGTTTTGTGTGCGAACAAAATATGTAGTTGCTTGTATATGCAAAAATCAATGACATAGTTGTCTGTTTGATCAATTTACACGTGTTTTGAAATTTAAAAAATTAATAAATCTAATATGAAAAGAGGGAAATGGAAAGAAATTGTGTACCCGTAAAGACTAAAAATTGGAAATGAAAAAGGTAGAGAAAGGAAGGATGGAATGAGAAGCCTCACTCCTGAATAAGAAAGAGTAAAGAAGGATGGGAGAGACAAATAGTGGATGAACTAGGGGTGCTATTCGAGTGAGTCGAGCACAAATTTGGCTTAGATCAAGTTGGGTTTGATAAAGAAAGATCAAGTTCGAGTTTCTGTCAAGTCGAAAAATTTGTGACTTAGTTCGAGTTCGGATAGAATTGCATTCGAGTTTTATCTTATTTATTTTAAAAAATAATATATTTGGCAACGAAGAGTTTGATTTATTTATTATATATTTAAATACATATATGCAATCATCAACGATTTATTTAAAACTAAGATGGGCTCAGCTCAATTACTCTTATTCAAATCTATTTGTGCATTGTTCGAGAATGCCTATAATCCGCATACCACTTTTAGAATTTGTCTAAAACATTTATTAATATGTGAATTTTTAGTATATTTTTAGTAGAAGATTAGTAAATTTTTTATTCATGAATCCATACAATGAATATGTTTCCTATGTTCTTTATTAGTTTTAACATTTTCATTTTCAAAGTTTGTCAACGCACAACTTTGTTGATTAATATATGTAATTTTCTAATCACAAAAATTTCAAAATTTCACATTTAGAAATTTCAAAGTAAGAAGGATTTAATTATATATTTTTAAAAATAAATTTTTGATATATCCGTAAATAAATTATAATCAAAGTAGAGCATGTGAACAATATAAAATTTCTAATGTTACAACTATTTAAGCACCGAAATAGTATGATGTCGTGTCATATGTAGGAATCTAAAATAATAACACCAACTTATAATCAAGTTGTATGTGAGCATTTCGAGTCAAGTTTATACATTGTTCCAGTTAAGTTTGAATTAGGTTGTAATAACAACTAAGTTGATGTCGAGTAGCTTGTTAGTTGGATTTTTTTTATTACTCCGTAGCACCTGGGATGGAATCTGGATAGTGCATACAAAAGATGTACTCCCCCGTCTCCTTAACTTTGTCTCATTTTACTTTTTTCGTCCCTCTTATTAATGATGTTTTTACTTGGATTATAATTCCTCCCAGATCAGATCAGACCAGTTCAGACAAGACCAGACTTGGATAGTTATAAAAATACAAAAACCAGACCAGATCAACAAATTACAATCCAAGTAAAAACATCCTAAGTTTGTCTCATATCATATTTAGTAATATTTGTATGTTTAAAATTCATTCTCACTTTATTCACACTTTATCAATTCAATATCAAACATACAATTATGTTTTTTCTTAAAATTATGTCATAGCCTCCTGTCCCAAATAAATACTCGAGAAAAGTACGGAAAATGTACTTGTGGTTGAGCCCGTTTTTAGTTAAGGTCATGTGTTTCATTCTTTATCAAAGTGGTTCATGTGTTTGAATTCCGTTATCACAAGAGGGTCACGACGTTAAAACGTCTGAAAAAGACCGTTAAAAATAACTCTAGTTTTCAAAAGTGTCCGAAAAATTAAAAGAAAAATACCAGAAGGTGCGCCTCAATAAGACGACCGCTAGACCATCTTTCTTTTTTGTTTTTAGTCACCCCTGTCACCGGGAAGTCCATCGGAAAAGTGATATTAACGAAATTATTTTTAAAAACTAATTCAAACAGATCTGAAAAATCCAAAGGCGAACATGATTTGGAGGTCATCTTGACGAGGCGCACCTTTCGGTATTTTTCTTTTAATTTTTCGGACACTTTTGAAAATTGAAGTTACTTTCAACATTCTTTTTCAGACGTTTTTAACGGCGTGACCCTTTTGTGATAATGGAATTCGATCACATGAACCACTTTGATAAAGAATGAAACACATGACCTTATCTAAAAACGGACTCAATCATAAGTACATTTTCCGTACTTTTCCCTAAATATTCCTTAAAACCTTTTCTCTAAAAGGGAGGGTCTGTAGACGCATTGGAGATGCTCCAACTTGGACGGGGACACTCGCTCACCAAACCCTTGTTCGGGTGGAATGTAAGGCAGATCTTCACCCGACCCACGAGAGTTTCAGATCCAGCCAGAACCCGTACATTATCCGTCCCCCACTTGCCTTCTTACTGCTCTCTTCCCTCTATGATATGCAACACCCTTCGCTTCAACAATGGGCACAGCTTAAAGCCTCTCTGGTTGTGGGTAGAAATTTCATTAGCTCAAGCGATCCTTCTCCGCCTCATCTTCGCTCTCAACCCGTACATCTTCTAACTCGCATTTCCCTTGCAAAATGCTGGTACGTTGAATCCATTTCGCGCATTTGCAGATTTATGTATCTATATGTTCAAAATTATGTGTGTGTATATTTGTTATTACTGAAGATCGAGTTTTTTTGTCTCCGTTCTTTCGATTTTACGCTCCGGACTGTTAGCTAATGTACGCCGATTTTGGTGCAGTGACAGTGAGCGTGTTTTTTAAGCGAGCCGCCCGTGAACTGAAATGGAACAGAAGTCGTGGATTTGGAAGAAAAAATCTGCCGTCGGTGGCGACTGTGGAAGGCGTTCCTCCTTTACCAGAAATGCAGACGATGTAATTAAGCCTCACTCAGTATCTTCTTTCCGTTAATTCTTTACTTCAATATTTCTCCTTTTCATTTTCCAGCAAAGCTTTGGCATGAATCTAAAAACATAATGGATCCACTTCACATGCCTTTTTCGTCTTTCCGCCTTTTCTGGTCCAGAAAGGTTATCACTTTAAGCAGTCATTTTCCTGTTTGGCGGTTCCTAACCTAGCCAATTATTGGAGTTATTCCCAAAGTGGAAAAAGAGAGTAAAGTGAAGAAAAAGATGTAGTTAAAGTTTAATTGATACTGAATTTTTTATTAGTATGCGAGTTTGCTATTTTAATTAGTACGAAGTATATTACTACGTACTATATTGTATATATTGAGTATTATTGTTCCGTAATGTGTATACTGTTGCCTCTAATTAAAGAACTCCTAGATTACTAGCATACGAATTGTTTTTCTTATACGCGGGATTCATATAATCTTAGTTTGAGTGGTAAATGAAAATCATTTTTATATAATTATCCCACCAGCAGGCCGGCCTGCAATACTTTGTCAACTTTACTTAGTTTTTATTAGGGAAAAGGGTACAAATATACCCATGTAGTATGGGACTGACCGTAAGAACAAATATACCACTGTTATATTTTTAAGAACAAATAAAGTGCATATATGCACCTGAACATTAAAAAAGTGCAAAAATACCCCTCATGTTCTTATAAAGGCGCAAATTTACTCTTATTGACTTTTATTTAGATAAAATAAATATCAAAAAACACCAAAAATAAATTACAAATTTGAAATTTAAAAATAAAGATTTATTACTATGTTTAAATATTAACTCTTTAATTTTAAATTGCAAAGTTATTATTTCTCCTTTGTAAATGAAACACTTCAAATTCATAAATATTAATTGTAGTCTTGTTGCGAAATTTTGAACACATAGTTACAATTTTTGAAATAACATTCTTTGATTTTTTTTACTTTTAATAAAATTAAATTCACTATTTTGTAATCTTGGACTATTTATCATCATACAAAAATATGTTTTATAATGCCAAGAAGGCAAAAAATTAATATATATTTACATTGCAACACATGATAAAACTTTTTTGAAAGAATTTAAAATATACAGTAAAGTTTTGAAACAATATTTTATACTAACAATATTAAATTGTGAAATAAAAACAATAAAAGGGAGAATGGACTCAAGTAAATTTTTACTTTTTTTTTTTAATTTTGAATTTATAATTTATTTTTGGTGTTTTTTTGAAATTTATTTTATCAATTTAAAGTCAATAAGGGTAAATTTGCTCCTTTATAAGAACATGAGGGTATTTTTGCACATTTTAAAAGTTCAGGGGTATATATGCACTTCCACATATACTTCAGGGGTGTATTTGTTCTGAAAAATAGAACATGAGTATATTTGTTCTCACACCCATAATACAGGATATATTTGTACCTTTTCCCTTTTATTATAAAAAGTTTGTCACTGAAAATTTGTAATAAACTTGTGGCATATATTATTTTTATGTTTCTTATACAAACCTCAAACCCTCTTTTTGCTTCTTTATTTAGTTTGCTTTCCCTATTTAGTGAAGTTAAATCTAAACCTCTACAACAACAACATATTTCTAAGTACTATTAATAATTAAAAGAAATGAGATGTTGGAGTATTATTGAAATTGCTCTTTCAAATTTTAGCCTGCATTTCTCATTATAAAAGAAACTGACTATTTTAAAAAATGAAAATTAATTTTATCTAAGAAAAAACATTTCTTGATTAATAATAATGAAGCACAACAGGAAAACTAGAAGATGATGAAACATGAAATCCATTTGGCAAAATCAATTAACAATAACAAAAAATACCAACTCCGCCGGTCTGTCCCACTAAGATTCATACATGCACAATCATTGAGAAATATAGAATTATGGAGTTAGTGTGAAATTTAAAAGTAGAATAAAATAAGAATATTAACTTTAATGTTTGACTGATGAATAGTTCTACGTTAGAAATAATATATAAGAATCTTTATGAGTGACTCAATTTTTTTGGTCATCATCATTACCCTAGTTCCGCAAAGGTTCCCACCCACGGTGGGGTAGGGGGATCAGATGTACACAGTCTTACCCCTGTACTAAAGCACATAGAGACTGTTTCTGATTTTTTATTTATTTTGGTACTTATATTTAATGTAGATCTAGAAAGATGCAAATGTAGAAAAAAATATTACGCATGGCGTGGTTCCTATATAATAGTGTGGGAAGAATAAACTACATTAACTATGTTAGGATTTCATAAAGAATTAGGATATCAATAATAACTAATATATGCAGTTAGTATGACTAATTATTTAGTACTACATCCGTCCCGCTATGATTGTCCCATTTTACCTTATCGGTCCATCCCACTAAGATTGTCCCATACCAAATTTGGTAAAGTTTGCGTGGCTCTAAATCATTCTTACTTTATCAATTCAATATCAACCACATAAAACACTTTTTATTAATTTGCGTGTCACTCCCTGTTGTCCCATTGTTAGCGGGACGGAGGGAGTATGTATTTAAATTATGGTATTGCTTGTTTATGTAGATTTTTATGTGCTCCTGAAAAGTGTCTCCTTATATGTGTGTATGAATTGATTATGTAAATTTTGATCAAGTAGTGAGCTATGTTGCATAAAAAACATGCTTGGTAATTTATGATAATTATATTCTGTTTTGGATGTAAACAACTGGGTTCTTAGATTGGAAACATCCTCCCCGACTGTGAAGTTTGATTGGGTATATAAAGTCCACGCTGTTTTTGCTGAAACCAACTTCAGGAAAATGTGTAGTATTTTAAAAGACACAACAATACCAAACTGGGCCTAAGTGGTTTATCCCACAAACCAAGTGAAGCACTTTATATGCCTTCTTTTTTCTTCCAATCAATCATAGTAGGACATATAACTGATTAATCTTACCTTTTGTTTACACAGCTAGAGATAATTTTGAAAGGTAAAGCAGAACTGGAAAGGGATATTCAAAAGTTGAATGATAAGCTTTCTTCTGCTCTCTTAGAGTGTAATGCTAAAGATGATTTTTCACAGAGACAGGCAAAGATTGCACAGGAAGCAATTGCAGGTAATAACATCTCTTTTCTTTTGTATTAATCTATTGTTTCTCAGATCACACTATGCATCTTTCTTTCAAGTGAAAATGATTTCTATGTGGATCCATTTGGATCCCAAAAAGTGCCAGACTGCTTGGAAAAGATAATGCTCCTATCTTGTTAACAATTTGATCTACTTTCCTTTTAAACCTGTCTTTTAATAGGTAGATCTACCGTACATTAAGCAAACTTTTAAAAATTTGTTTCACATTCCATTTTCGGTGAATATGAGCTCGTCAAATGACATGCATGTCATTATTCTTTCATCTTCTATCCATAGTTGCCATGGCAGCATTTAGTCATCGACTAGACGATGCTTAGGTGTCCAGGCGGTGAAGAGCACTTGTCATGGCTGGCCTCGTGGCTTGAAAAGCGCCATTTATTGAATGCCATTGCACAGACGTTAACAAGGCATTCATAGGGAGCCCAGGATATGTTTTTGGCAAATCAATTTTGATTATACAGTCTAACCGGGGAAGTTTGGATTTTCTTTCTTACTTTTCTTCTTTCTGTCTTTCCTTTTATTCATTTTCATTACTTTGTTCATCTTTGTACTTTAGTTTTTCTTTATGATATTTTTCTTTGCTTTAGATGTCATTCACATGATGAATTAGAAGTTGATATTAGATTCTTGTTTTGAGTTAATACGATGAATTAGTAAATCCCTTAATATATTTCATATTATATTTATTTAATACGTTGTACTCAAATATGGAAAAGGGCTACTTGTCGCCTAAACGTCTAAGCGACAAGGTGGTTCGCTAGCGCCACACCTTGCCTACACACCATGATAACCTTGCATCTTACATTTCCTACTTTTTAATCTCCTCTTACAGTTTTAATATATTCTATGCTTTATTCAATGCCATTACAATTTTGATTTTTTATTCCAAAAGTCTATTGGAGCAAGTAATAAAAATGGATAGTATGAACAAAAACGGGGACAGGAAATGTGTGGGGGTGGGGGGAGGGTAAAAGATGGGTTAAAGCTCAATAAATTTACTTTTATTTGTTTTTTATGGGATACTCATTTTTTTATTATATCTATTGTATACTCCAGTTGTTCCAAAATTAGTCAGTTTTTAAAAGTGGGCATATTAAGAAATCTTATAAAATGACCCTTCTACCCTTATTTATGTTTCACATTAAGTTGATATAAGAATTTATTGTAGAAAAGGTTAATATATAACAATTACATTGGGAAATATTGGTTAAAACGACGATTAATATAGGGCAGAGGGAAGTAATGTATACATATTTGCAAAATAATACTTTTCTTGGCAGTTTTTCTTCTTCCTTTTCCTAGCATTTCTGTGATACTAACAGACCTTATAGGTTGGGAGAAAGCCGAGACAGAAGCACTATATATGAAGCAAGAACTAGAAAATGCATTGTACCAAATAGCAGCTGGAGACAAAAGATTAGTTAGTTTAGATTCAGCGCTAAATGAATGTATGCATCAGTTGCGTTCTGTCCAAAGAGAGCAAGAAAAGAGGATCCGCAATGCAGTGTTTGAAACATCCAAAGAATTTGAGAAAAGAATACTTGCCTTAGAAGAAAACTTATCAAAACTGGGGGCTGAAAATACTCAGCTCAGTAAGGCCCTCCTAGGAAAGGAAAAAGTTATTGAAAATTTAAGTTCTCAAAGAGATAAGGCAGAAAGAGAACTAAGTGCCCTTATGACTAGACTAGATTCTCTAGAGAAGGAGAATGTGTCTCTTAAGTCTGAGGAATGGGAATCTGACCGTAGATCAACAGAAGCTTCTCACAAGCAACACTTGGAGAACGTAAAAAGGATCGCAAGATTAGAATCCGAATGTCAAAGGCTGCGGCTTCTTGTTAGGAAGAGACTACCAGGCCCCGCTTCCATGGCCAAGATGAAGAACACAGGTGAAACGAGGCCAAATCCTTCTATGTTTGGGTCAATGGATTTCGCATCAGATGTTGGTCCCAACAAAAGAATCCAGTTACTGATAGAGCAGTTATGCATGCTGGAAGAAGAAAATAGGAATCTCAAAGAAGCCCTCCATAGAAATGCAAGAACAGATATAGGTGCTTGTGCAGTAGCTTCTGAGACATCACAGGCTGAAGGACAATTCAGTCAGATTCCAACAGATTGTTTATCTGTACAACCGGCAGGGAAATGTCTTCAATCTGTCCAAGAACTCTGTGTTGTCTCACAGTCTGATATGGGTAGTGGCAATAAAGCAAGCCGTGTTAAAATGCAGTCATGGACTCCATTCTCTAAAAGCATGGGAGCCTTTGACATGATGAATCTGATGGATGACTTTGTAGAGATGGAAAAGTTAGCAGTGGAGAAAACAGATGAAGACTGTGTATCAGAGATTTTGGCATCTACCCAGAAAAGTATGAGTCCATCCATTGGCAGAGTAATTGAGATCATAGAAGGGATTTTACCATATAGGGTCTCAGAAACACAAGCTGGCTACACAGTTCGTCATTTCCAGTGGAAAACTTCTGAACTCTCTCTCATTCTTCAAGACTTTGTCCAAACTTGCCAAGACTTATTGGATGGAAATGCCAACCTTGAGAAATTTGGCCAGCATATAGTTTGTACCTTGGAATGGATCGTCAATCACTGTTTTTCTCTTCAGGACGTTTCAAGCATGGAGGATGCAATCAAAAACCATTTTGAATGGAGTGATGACTCACGGGGCGAGTGTGAGGTGGGACCCTCCCCTCATTTGATGATTGAATCATGCGACCGTAAAAGTTTTTCACAAGTGGAAGAAACTCAATCGAAGACAGTTGAGACTGAATCATTGATTGTACAGCTTCAAGAATCAGAAAGCACAATCAATAGTCTCAAAATGGAAGTGGAAAACCTTAGAGGCTTAAAGTTAGTGATGACTGAGGATGAAGATGAAAAACATGAGATTATTAGAGAAGGACTTGAGGTGCTGATTGAATCAACCAAACAGGAATTGAATGAAGCATGTCAGAAGTATTCTCATCTACAAAGGTATGCCCTATGCTATTATTAAGTTTGAATGCATGCTATTATTGGGGTCTTCATCTTTTGTACAACATTTCTTGTTTTCAGCATCACAAATGAAGAAATTCCTCAGCACGATTCGGAAAATGAAGAACAGCTGCGCCAAAATGTATGTCCCTTAACTATCCTGTTAAAACAGAATCTATCATCAATGTTTGCTATTGATTTCTTTATATATTTGTATTAAAGAAATAATTATTCCTAATATGAGTAAAACATAGTTTCTTTTCCCATGCAAGAGTTGATATGGTTTAATTCCAAAAACAATATCTATTTGGTCCTACATAAAGAAGACTAACATGTTTTTATAGCTAAATAGTTTATATTTATACATACAAGTATTAGCAATTATATTTGTGGAAACCTATAATATTGATAATGGTTCTCACTTGCTTGTTATGGACGTCCCATATAACGATTCTCATTCATATATCAGGAAATAACTAAAGCTCTTAAACCACAACTTAATCATCACATTTTAAAAATAATACAGTCATAACATCATAGTTAACATCAAGTACCCCATTATATTATATACCCACCCAACCTACTCCTCAAAATATAATCAAATTACCTTATTTAAACATTGCCTAAAAAATTGTGCCATTTTCAATGGGAACCTTAAGTCTGGATGGGAGGTAGTATATTTTAGTATGGGAAATTACTCATGTTAAATTCAATCAGTTGATAATGAAAAAAGGAAGATACCTTTTTTACTGGAGTTTCTAAAAAAACTATCCTATTTTATTTATATAATACAATTTCGTTAAATTTCTTCCTCCACCAAAGTTCAGCAACTTTATGTCATCTCAGCCAAAAAGAGTTGTCTCAATCGAATTCACCCTTACGAAGCGGGTGGTATGACATCTGATGTCTTGGATGAAGTGATGAACTTGGTAGGGCTTCGAAATGGAAGCATCATCGTGTATAATGAATGTGAGGAAATGAGGAATGATCCTGTTCAGCTGTCCAGACAGGATCCTCCGTCCGGCCGGTGCCATTTGAGATGGTTCCTGGTGAATTTTTTTGATGAAATTTTGTGAGCATGTTCTTCATCAAATGTAAATTATGTCCACAAAGTTTCAGCTTAAAACTCAATCAGAATAAATAATTTATTTAAAAACAGTTAAATAAGTTATTGAAAAACATTGCGCCAAAATAAATATATAAAACACAATGTTTTTCAATAATTGAATTATTGAGGCGACCGGTCGGAGGGTCCTGTCTGGACGGCTGGACAAGATCTTTTTCTTAATGAATGTGTATTCATTATGTCTTGAAACAATGAATGTCTAACTATTGGCATAACTTGGTAGGACCTGGAAATTGAAGCAGCTTCTGAAAAGTTGGCCGAGTGTCAGGAGACTATATTAAACCTTGGAAAGCAATTGAAAGCCTTGGCTTTACCAAGAGACACATCCATTTTTGATAATGTCATCTCTACCCCTGTGAAAAACCTGGGGCGTCGCTCATCTCTGCTTGACATAATGTTAGATGAGGATAATGGTGGTCAATGTTGTCAGTCTCCCAATACCAAGGAGCTTACTTTGAATGGCAATAGGCATTCTGCTTTAGGTACCAGCAACGCAATAGAATTCCCTCCAGAAGATGTTCCATCTCCAATTGGAAATAGAAACACAGTCGAAGAGAAAGATTACGTTGATTCCTTAACCATCGTTTCTAGTAAGAAGAGGAATGGAGGGTTGTTGAGTAAGGTATTTTGGAAGTTGCAAAAAGATCATCTCATAAGCTGCATAAAGGATTGATTAATGGTCAAAGCAATTTTGGAATGGAAGCTTGCAGATCCTATCCGGCTTGTAGTGGGAAGTAAATTTTGTTTACCCTTTTTTGTTGTTTCCCACGGAATGTAGATGTAAAGTATCTTCATTGCTTGTTAATAAAATGAGAACTGAGAAGGCAATTATCCTTGACCATTTCCCAAATAGTTTAAGACCTTGATGTTAATAATACATGTACAGAGGAAGGATTCCTCGGTAATAATAGCTGAAGTAATAATAAAGAAACTGTAGTTAGTTTTTTTTTTTTGCATTTTAAATGCATTTTAAGCACGTATATTTTTTAAAAAGCACGATTAAAATGAAAAATAAGGTTGAACTCTTTAAAAAGAAAAAACACAACTCATTGTACTTTACTAGAAGGTAATAAAACATATATTTTCCGTATTTTATAAACGATAGAACCATGAATTGATTAATTGAATGAATGCATTATTTGCATAGTAGGGTTGGACGGTCCTGGTTCTGGTCTGGGATAGGGATGGACTGGGTCAGGCCGAACTAGATCGGAACTCGAACCGGCCCGTTGTTGTGCTGGCTTGGACTGGCTCGGGCCCGGTTGGCCGGTTGGCCGGTTCCAGGCTTTTAGCTCGTTTTGGCGGGCCGGGCGGGCCGGGCTTGGGCCCCATTTTTGTTGAACCAGCTCGGGCGGTTCGGCTGGGCCTGGGCTTTTTTTTTATTTATGTTTTTTCATATTTTTTCTTTTCCTAGGGTAGGACTGGGTGTTTTGGGAAGGTTTGGGGGGTGGAGGTGGGGGGGGGGGGGGGTCGGGGGATAACAAGAAAGCCAAAAAAAAATTAAACATTGAATCGGGCCCGGCCCAGTTAGGCCCGGCATCAACCCGGGCCGGTTCCGGGCCCAAGTACCTGGGAAAAAAGCCGGCCCGGAACCGGAACCGAACCGGACCGGTCCGAGTCCATCCCTGGTCTGGGATATAAAACGAGTTTAGCTTGAATGACATCGTGAACAAAATGACAATCCATCTCAATATGTTTGATGCGTTCATGAAAAACCGGATTGTGAGGAATATGAAGGGCATATTTACCATCACATAGGGGAGGTATAGCTTGCGGATGGTTAACTCCTAAGCTCAAAAGAAGTGTTTTAGCCATTAAAATTCACATGTAGCGGCCGCCAAGGAGTGGTATTCTACCTCCGCCGAAGAGCGTGAAACCGTCACTTGTTTCTTTTTTTTCCATGACACTGGAGTGTCCTAAAAATATGATCCACCCAGAAAGAGAACGGCGGGTTAAAGGGCATGATGCCTAGTCAGAATCACACCAACCAGTAAGGGAAAGAACACTGTCAGAGCGGAGCAATATACCTTGACCCGGGGTACCTTTTAAATAGCGAACTACCCTCAATGGTGCAATACAATGATCATATTTTGGTTCATGCATAAATTGAGAAAGAATATGAATAGCGGGTGATAAATCAGAACGAGTCACGGCCAAGTAAATAAGCCACCCAAGCAATCGCCGTTGAGGACCAGGATCAACAAGAGAGGAACTCATAGAACTTGCTAAACCATGATTCTGTTTGAGGGGCGTCACAACAGGTTTGGAGCCGAGCAGGCCTGTCTCAGTAATAATGTCCATGATGTATTTCCTTTGGCTAAGAAACAAGCCAGAAGAATTTCTAGCCACTTCAATGCCTAAAAAATACTTCAAACCCCCAAGATCTTTCATGTGGAAGCAAGCATGCAAATAATTTTTGAACATAAATATGGCGGAAGAAATATTTTCAAAAATAATGAAATCATCCACATAAATGAGAACATTTAATTGTGTAGCACCTCGCGAATAAGTGAACAAAGAATAGCTTGTATAGGACTGTGAGAAACCATAAGTACATAATGCACCAACCAATTTAGCAAACCAACACCTAGGTGCCTGGTTTAACCATATAAAGATTTTCGCAGGCGACAAACTTGATTAGAATTGGAAGGGGCAAAACCAGGTGGGCATTTCATATATACCTCTTCATCCAGATCTCCATGTAAGAACGCATTGTAAAAATCCATTTGATGAAGTTCTCAATGTTTAGTCACAACAACAGCCAAGAAAGTCCGAATAGTAACCATTTTTGCTACGGGAGCAAATGTTTCGTTATAATCAATACCTTCAACGTGATGATTACCAAACACAACTAGCCGAGCTTTGAAACATTCTATTCATCGGCATGATATTTGATTTTATACAGCCACCTACAAACTATTTGATTTTATATAGCTATTGTGTATCTATTGTTTGATCTTTGATTTATTGAACTTCTTTTTTCATTCATAATGTTTTCTACGTAGTCTAAATTTGAAATGTAGTTTGGATTTACCATTCATTAGTTATTAACTACTACATATATCTTAGACATTTTCATATCTTCAATTTGATTTTACACTAAAAACATTCATTACTCATCAAACATATTACTTTTAAAGTAAATTCTACCGTGCAACACACAAGTTGATTGACTAATTGTTAGTAGCTTGTAGTTAAGCGATGAGTGTAGGAAAAACGTCTCAACCGCAATAACTTAAGCCCTATAGTAAAAATAAAGCGAATGCAAAAAGAAAATTATGTTATAGTACGCAACTTAAATAAAAGAAAATTATGTTATACTATATTTAATTGAGTTTTTGTTGTTGTTGTTGTTGTTGTTGTTGTTGTTGTTGTTGTTGTTGTTGTTGTGCATACCACTAGATGTATTGTCCTTGAAGGCGACCCCTATATGGTCGTTTTCGTATGATATTATTAATTGGACTGTTTCGGTCTCTGATTAGATCAAATCAGATTTAAATAATTATGTCAGACGAGTTCAACCCAAACCAAACCTGATTTTGAGAGAACATAGATCTAATATTCTATTTGTTCTCTTAGACTATTCACAACCTTATTCCATCAATAAATCAAATTCTCAACCAGATTGTACCAAAATTGTGTATTCACTATGTCGATCCAGATTTTTCCTACAATTCAGCACCGTCAATATATTCACCAAACAAAGTTTTGTTTTAATTAAATCTTTACTTTTGTCATTAAACATCAATTGTTTTCCAATATTATTTTTGCAAATAATTAAGATTTAAAAAGTCAAACATTATGATAAAAAAAATACAAATTTGGAGTTTGATTTTTCATGGTTATTTCAAATCTACTTTTGAAAAAAATAACCGAAAGTTGTTAAACAAATTGTAACCCATTTATTTTAAGTATACTGATCTACCTAAGAGAAACTCTTACCTTAAAAACCTCCAAGAATTGAATGTTCGATCATTTTCTTTTAAAAGTTACATATAAAGTATTTATGTCATATGAAAGATAATAGAAATTATGAATTTTAATACGAAGTATATTTTTTTGTAAAAAATTGAATACAAATAAAAAATTATATGAGTTCGAAAAACAAAGATTTTTTTCATCATGGGGCTAGGGGTGGGCACGGGACGGGACGAGACGAGAATTAGACTATCCCGGTACTGAACCCGATTTAGGATAACAGGACAAAACGGGACGGGACAAGACGTCGTCCCGCTGTTGTCCCTTTTAAACCGATACCGGAACAGAACGGGACGGTGCGGGACATCCTCAAAAAATTGCAACAAAAAAATACAGCTCCAATAACAAACATCATGACAAAAAATTACAGCACTAAAAATGCAACAAAAAATAGTAGATTAATAGGATAGTTGCACGAAACAAACTGTAACAACAACAATAACTCCAACACACACAATACTACTAAGAAACTGCAAAAATAAAAAAGATAAACAATACTATTAGAAGTGAAATATGTGGGGTATACGTGAGTTTCTTTTTAGTATGTAGAAGATAGTTCATACTTGATAATTTAGTCTCTTTTAGGTGTTTTACATATTAGATAACTAATACCTAATTACTCCATTATATGCATTAGTATTCGAATTGATGGTAGACTCACTAACTCACAACTATATACAATTTTGAATTCGGGACAACGGGACAGAACGAGACATATTTTATTTGTCCCGGTCCCGTTTTGTTTTGAAACGGTTCAGGACCGGAATGAGACACAAATAGTTTGTCCCGAATTTAACGGGACAATTTCAGAACGAAACCGGAACGTTCCGGAACGGACCAACGAGACCGGGTCTTTTGCCCACCCCTACATGGGGCTATCTTCTGCTTTTGTTAGGTTGCATAACAATTTGGGGCGAAATTTCAACTTAATTCATTTCCACAAATTATATCTTACAGCCGGTTGTACCGTGCGCACGGTACAACCAGGCTTTTAGTTCGCAAATCGTCATCGCAGGTCTTTGCAGTTCGTTCGATCGTTCGCACTTCGCTGACTGCTCGCCGCTCGCCATCGTTCACAGATGAGGACATGCTCGTCACTCGCAATCCTCCCACACCCCAGACTCCCGCTTGCGCAGAGAGGACGGCTCCGGCGCCTGGTGGATGTATACCTGATGTGAGTTTTCTTGCACTTAAAATAGATTGTAGTAAAGGGTGTAAGTACGAGTATCGTCTCCACAGGGACCGACAAAAGGGAATCAAAAATTAATTAAATTCAGCGATTAAAAATAAATAAAATAAAATAAATTGTGCGAGATTTGATTGATTGGAAAATTAACTTGCAATTAAACGAATACTAAAGCTAAGGGGTTCTTTCTAATTAACGACGGAAGGAATAGGGATTGATTCCGAGGTAACCATATTTCTGACAGATCAGGTCTAATTACATGAAATTAATTTAATTGAGCCTAGCTAGTCATTACTAAGTTCTTACCGCTCTCGCGGCGTAGAGTACAATAATTTAGGGGATCAGACTGATTTCTCATGTGACAGGATCCTAAATTATTGCCAAGATGAGCGAGCTTACGCCCCCATAATCGCTACTAATCTCTTAGCGAACGATTAAATGTGTGTGAATGTATCCTAGAATAAATTAGATCTCTCTTAACTTATTCTACAAGCAATTGTAATTCTAGCGCGCGTTCTAGGTTACAAGAGATATCAATTAAATTATTCAAACACAAATTAAACGGCATTCATGCAATTAATCCATCAAAAATCTAGCCATACATCATGATTAACCCCATCATCAATCCCAAATCCCTAATTAAACTACTCACAATTCATAATTGAAGAATCAACAGAATTGGGTTGAATAGAATTAATTGTCATTAATTAAAAAGATGGAACTTACAAAGAATCCCAAAAGATTGATGAACAAGGCTGAAAAGCTCTCTAAATTTCGTGCTAGGCACTCTCTTTAAGCTCCCCCTCAAAATAGGGATTTACAAGCTGTTTAAATAGGAAAAATGGAGCAATTCGGGTTGAATTAGGACTGAAACGGGGCACCCACGGCACCCACGCACGCGTGCGTGGCGTCCGTGCGTCTGACAGGCTTGCATGTAAAAATGTTGGACGCACGCGTGCGTTCCTCCACGCATGCGTTTGTGGCTGCCAGTGAGTTTTCCGGCTTCTCTAATCCGAATTTGACAAAATTTCCTTCAGGAAAGTTCTAGATAATGAAGTTATCTATCCACCATAACTTGCCGAATTAGATTTGGATCATCCCATCAAAGGATATGAATACAATGGTGGAAGGTCGTATTCCGAAATCGCAACAGCGATTATCTGACTTCATCGCCTGTTTTCACCTTCTTCCTCTCAGATCCTCGCAATGGTGTCTTCATATGATTTGTATCCCTCAAAGTTGGATTTCATTTGGGACTTGAATTGTGTCCTTTATATGCTTCTACAAAGAGATATGCTTGAACGATTGACAGAAGGTCATCCTGATCGCCATTTTCAAGCTCTATTCGTCTTCTTTTGATCTCATAGCCAATCCTAGAGCTCTTTTATAATCAAATCTTCATCGCGAACCTCCCGGTGACCTCCAAAGCTCTCAATTCACTCTCGAATTATTCTCGAATCATTCTGTTTGCTCCTCAAGCGCAGATGTCGGACTCTAAATTCCTGATTTTGACTCCAAACAACACAAAACTCGAACCAACGCCCGGTAAACATAACTTGAGCTAAAATTGATACTTGTAACACCTTAAAGCTAGGAAAACCATCAAAAGTTGATCCCAACACGCATAAAATGCGTGTCTAAATACGGGCTTATCAGATTCCCCAACACTTAAGCCTTTGTTTGTCCTCAAGCAAACTGAACATCGGGACTTACGATAATCATCACACGAAATTAAAACAATTAGCATGCATAGGTAGTTACAAGGATACTCACAGAACAGACAGACTGAAACAAGAAAATTCTTCCCTAAACTACATCTTTGTACTCTGGCTAACTTCAATAACAAAATTATTCACAACTCTTTTGAAGTAGTGGCAACAAACACTAATGAACTAGCTATTGATCAGAAGGACTTGTGAAGATGGTGGTGAATAATGGATGGACAAGAATAAAAATCCCTTTCTTTGAGAGTTTTGGAATAATCTGACAAAAACATAATGCATTCAGGAATTTCAGGGCTATTCTTAGGATCAGGGAGTTCAGCAGGACACAAATTAGGAACTATCATTTAAACTTATGCAAAGAGTAGACATGGTGTACAACTAAGCTAAACCGTCACCGCACATTGGTCCTTTGACGTATACTTGAAATACGCGAAGGACTAATGCTATTTTTTGCAATAGCCTCCAAGTTCAATTAATTAAGATCATTTTTTCCTTGTCATGTTGGCACGAGAACTTCATTTCTTTCGAAAGATCCTCAAGTCTCATCTTATTGTGCAGAACACTTACGCTTTTTGACCGGGTCTCCCATTCTCTTTTTCGCAGGGTAAGAGGTCTAGCTATATTATTTTTTTTAATTTTAAGATTTTCACAAGACATTACCTCATTCTAATCTCGGCCTCACTAAGAAAAATTAACAATTAAGGTTCATTTATTCAAAGTGAATCCATGCCTACAATGCAATCCTCGAAAATATCAAATTCCTATAAAGTGACTGCTCTTACCCCACTTGGGGCATAGGAGCAGTGCCAAAATTGGCTCCTACACAAATTACCTAAACTTAACAAATAAATTCCCCTAGTTCCCTAAACACCAAGACTATGTCAGAATTATTCACGGGTAAGGAAACAGGCCATTTGGCTATGGAGCTCAATTAATTGGGTAAAGAATAAACGGTCAGGCTCAAAATGGCTTCTCCTAAAGGACTTATCCAGGTCAGGTGGATGATATGTGAAACGATTCAATGGGTGACTAATGCCTTCATCCTCTCAAAGTTGGCTATAGTTACAAATTTGACGTGCACTTTGTCATGGTGTGCACTCAAAATAATAATTACAATACAACACTTATACGTAGTATAGTGTAGTAAGGTTCGTATCCACAGGGAAATGAATATTTTTCTTTTATATAAATAGTAACAAGGGGGGTTTAAGTTTGATTTGATTTAATTTAATTAACACTAAAATGAACGAATTATATGAGTTTAATTAATAGAGATGAGGACTTGGTTTTGCTTTTATCCACTTAATGAAATGTTCGTCGATCCCGGTTATATCTTTAACTATCTTCCTCTCGAATAATCAATCGAGGAGTATATCCAGTTCATCGAGGATAGTTATTAATAACGATATGCGTTCATTAATAAAACTTACTATCGAGTCAATATAGAACAAGCGCCGTGTATAAACTTGATAGTAGCATTAAACTTAAGATGAAAACGATTGAGATTGATAACCTCAACACTACCGTTGAAAGAACCGAATTAATAACAAGCGTATTAATCGATTGATTCTAGTAATAATTAATATATGAAACAAAACTAGTTGATCCTTTAAGTAATGCTCAAAATATTAATATGGAATATGAATAGGAAATAATTAATATTCAAGGAAGAAGATTAAAGAAAATAACTCACAACTTACAAATTCATTAAGCTTCAAAGTAGCAAAACCAAGATGGAAGAGCTTAGCTCCTCATTTGGAGACTAAACATGAAGAAAATATAAAGAAAGGGCTTGTCTAAACTGAGCTAAGAAGTATATGTGAATTGGTGTTTTTATTGTGTAGGAAAGGGGTGTATTGATAGGCTTTTGGGAGCTGCAAGGTCTGATACCCGACCGGGTATATAGAATACCCGATCAGGTATCTTAGGAAATTTCCCAGAAAGTCACTTTTCTGGGCATACTCGACCGGGTATGTCGGCATACCCGATCGGGTATGTGACAAATCTTTTACGAAATCTTGCTCCCACGTTCATTTGTCCTCAGATTTGATTTGGACAATCGAATCAAGCAAATACCCGATCGGGTATTGTTTATACCCGACCGGGTATAAGAGTATTTTACCCAAATCGAAATCTTTCTTGTCTCCTTGCACTTTCCTTGATCTTTTGAGGTCCAATCTTGATCCTTTTGATGATCTTTGACCTGTTTAGCTTAGAAAAGTCCTAATCTAAACAATTTACAAATAAATATGAAAATAAAGTATTACACCAAAAGTGTATAATTTCCACAACTAGAACTAACAAAAACTAGTTAAAATTACAAAAATAAACAATAACAATTCTATACTATCAAACTCCCCCCTACTTAGTCCATTTGCTCGTCCTCGAGTAAAAGCCAACACAACAGTTCACAATCCACAGAACAAATAAATTCAAAAGAATAACATGTTCAGTTTTTCAATCATCCTCAATTTACAAAGAAAGAGGGTCTTCATGATCTTCAAGAACAATTATTCTTTTCACTGACTGCATCCCAAAAACTCCCAAGTGAAATGAGTTCTTGTATAAATCCGGATGAAATTTCCTCTCATTCTCTCATTCTGCCTAAGAGCTTTTTCAGGTTTTCATCCTAGCCTCTCTTTTTTTTCTTTCTCCCAACTCACTCATTTTAGCCACTTTTGCTTTGATTGCCCAATTTTGGATTTTCAACCTAACTAGCATTTTTTTCTTTGTCTGTTTTTTAAGGATAATGCAAGTTCAAGCTGGAAAGAATGAGTACATACCAAATGACTGACTCCCCCCTACTTAGTTCGAGCACTGTCCCTAGTGTTCTCATGTCATCTTTGTTTGGATGTTTTGTTTTTGTTTGGGGGTGAGATTTGAGATTAGTGGAGAGATGAAAACAAAAATTAGGGTTTTTCAATTAAATTCGGCTCAAAGGAATGGGGAGTTTGAGTTTGTTTGGGATCTAGAGTTTGGTATGTTTGGTCATGGGGATTGTGCGAGAGTTTTGATGCAATTTTGTGAAAATTAAGAAAAAATTAATCACTATTTTTTGAATCTGTGTTCCATCTGTATCAAATATCTTAAAACAAAACTTAATCTAAAAGATTACCCTCTATATTAAAAAACTTACAACTAACAAAGGGAGCTAGTGGAACCAAAACATACTGAACCGTCTCTCTATTAACATTATAACCACAGCAACAACGAAAACTCTTTGACTTCCTATAAATACTCCTGTTACTGGGTGGGTTCAAAACTTCAAATTCACTTTCCAGCACTATGCTTTTCTTTTGAAGCACTATGCTTTTCTTTTGAGTGAGAACCCAAACAACTTTCAGAGGCAAAAGTCCTGAAGCAAAATCCAATAAGAAAATAAGTGGTGGTAGTTGAATAGTTGATTAAGGGATCTTTATGTTTTTACGTAGGGATAAGAAACAAAAATATCCCTCAATGATACACCCTAGAGTGATAGAGTACATATACCCTTGATCTATTTTTTGACTCAAACAACTCTAAAAGTTAACTTTAAAGCCCAAATATACCCTTTTAGTAACTTTGACATCCACAAAATAACTTTTCCATTTCTCTAAAGAAAAAAGGATCCCCAACCTTCTAGTTTCTTGCAGCCATAGGTCCAAAGAACTACTCCGGTAGCAAGGCTTCTTAATCTTCTCACAAATAACACGATTAACAACATAGATGGAGCATAGAAGGAAGCCCATCAGCCTTTCTAATCCACCAAATGATAGTTTCAACACCACCACAAACAAATTCAGTGAAATAACATCAGTACTCAATGGAGGATGTGGTGCAGCTACATGTTTGTGTTTTAACCCTTTTACCTAATGCAGTCCTTGCATTGATGAGAACCTCCTGATTTTGGAGTTTTCTGAATAGCAGCAGGTGTCTTTCCGGTTTTGTGTGAAGGATGTGGTGCAGCTACATGTTCATTACCTTTCTTTCCATCTGCGCCATACATCATTTTCCTTGTGGAGAAGGTACCTACAACTCCAAACACAACAGAAGGAATAGATAGATGGGGTTCTAGATCAGAGTAAGAACTTAACAATTTTTTGCATATGTGTGTGATAAAAGCAGCTCAACCACCTATACAGTTTCGCGAATGATAAAAAATATAGAATATGGTATAATGGTCCAATAAAAATGCAGTGTCTTGCCACAAAGTACTTTCTAGCACTTCATTTGATCCACCTATGAAAGCAATTACACAGTCTCATAAAGTCCATTGAGACAACTCAGCGTTGTGAATAAAGAATGAGAGTGAATAGACAATAGAGACTTCACTTCATATCTCAAGCCAGAATAAATGATAAGTGGTTGAAATCACTCTTTAACTAAAAAAAAATCTTTATGAAGATCCTGATTATGGATCCTATCTCAAAGCGGAATACATTATGACATTCATGAGTTTATAACATCTATTTATAACTACAAATGAATTAAAAATAATAAATATCTTTGACTATTAAGGAAAGCTCCGGAGTAGCAAGAAAAAGAATTAATTTGTTCATGAGTAAGAACTAAATATACATACAAATCTAAGTAGAAAACAGTGATAACCTATTACCCGGAGTAGCAAGAGCCATCAGAAATAAAAAAAAAACTTGCAACCTGCCAAAAAGTTTAAAGAAACTATTGGTGTTACACCACCAATAATGTATCGCCACTGGCAAAAATGTGTTATTATCACTAATAGGACACATTCATCACTATTATATAAACGCACGTCAATTTTATACATTTATCACCCACCTTTAGTAAATCTACTAAAAATGTACGATTAAATAAATTAAAAAATGTTGATAGGATATTGAGGTCCGGCCCAATATGGCGACCCAAAATATCCCTGAGGCCCAGGCACCAGGGAAAGCCCAGAGGTCATAGATCTCGAACGGGAGTTCGGCACATCCTTAAAGCCCAAAATAAAAAGGGTAATCCAGAAGAAATCAGTAGACCCGAACGATGTGTGATCTCCTAGAAGGAAAGACCCGTTCGGTACAACTCGAGCGGGATGTGACCGACTGCAGTTAATGCTGGATCATGGAGGTCTCAAGTGGCATGGAAAGCAACCAGTCGTATTAGGGCACTCCATGTCTCCATTTAGTATAAATAGCAGCTTTTAATTCTTTGTAAGGGTTTGATTTTATTGACTCACGAGCTTATATTGCATTCTAGCTCTCGTATTAGCCCTTGAACCGTAACTACCGTTCGGTCATTTCTGTGTAATTTTTATTATTGTGTTAATACAAGCTGAGTTGTTTAAATAGTTAAATCAGATTTTATATTTCCTTTTATACACATTACTGTAGCAGTACAACCCAAGATCCAAGGCTAGTGTTGGGCCTTCGGGTCATTCGAGACTAAAACACAACAAATGTACTACATTTTTTTTAAAATGGTTCACATGATATAATTTCATTTATATATTTGAGAATAAATATGCATGTTACTGAATACACCCTTCCAATAGATATTGTAGCAATACGGCTATATGACAACTACATCAATCAAAGTAAGAAACAAAACAAAGAATTCAAACAAACTTAGTTAAAGAAAATGCAGATTTAATATAACTTTTAAGAATTATTTCAGCTATACTATCAAATACGGAGTCGATTACTATGGACAAAAATACAGACTATACAAATACTTGAAGGTTCAATTAAACACTTTAAAAAGCCCAATACTGCTTTAAAAATGGAAAAATAAGCCTAACATATTCTGCCACTTCATAGGACATGATTGAGCCTGCAACTTTACATGGAGGGCCATAGACGAAAAATATAATAATGAAAATGGAATAAAAAGCACACCTCTTGAACGATTTGGCGTGGGTGCAAATTAAACATTCTCTTCCATGTGTAACATTGCAAATTGCTGTAAATTAAAGCCAAAATTGAAGCTGATATGAGATGAGATGAAGATAAAATATGATGATAAAGATTGAAGTGAAATATTGAAGTGAGAAAACCCAAAGTACCGATGGAAGAAATATGGTAAAATACGGGAAAGAATCAATTCGAAGGTCCCTACATTTCAACAAATTTGATTAGAGTGGGTAGGAAGAATACAAAAAAATGGGAATCTACATAAAAAAATGGGGGAAAAGAAACAGGGATAGGAAGATATTACCATGACTCCATGAGTGTTGTGATGACGTTGCAATTATGGCCAAATTAATAGAGAGCGGGAGAGAAAGAAATTGAGAAGGAGGTGAAAGAAAGTCGAACGGATTGAGAGAAATTAGCATGAAAATGAAGGGAATGAAGAATGAAAAAACTAAAATAGTAACCTGAGCACCTTGCAGCAGCGACGTAAGGAAAAGAAACTCCTTGAGCTCCGTAGCAAAGTAGCAAAGAGAATTAGAAAAGCCAATGGTCGAGATCAATTTTAAATGAACGGTCCTATTGATTTGTATTGTTATTAAGTACAAGAACAAGAATTATTCATCATTTAGGGGAATTAGGAATTTCACATAAATTACCCCAGAGAAATTTCTTTTGTACACGTTGTTATACACATCAGTACACCTTCTTGTCTGTGAGTTTTTTTTTGTTTGAGAATCCCAACCGACGGACAAAAACTGGCTTGTTTTGTCCACATACAAAACAAGCCTGTTTTGCTTATGAAATGGGATTCACAAACAAAAAAACATCTCACGGACGGAGAGATACTTGTGAGTATAGGAAGGTGTACCAAAAAAAGGTGTACACTGAAAAATTTCCTTACTCTCCATGCCACATGTTTTCCAATGCTATTTCTGCTGCAGACTAACTTGCAAGAAAAATGCTAGAAGTACAAATACACTTACAAAAAAACTTACAAACAAGTGATGTGGTTATTTTAATTACCATTGATGTAAAAATGTTGTAAATGTGATGTGATGTGTTAAATAATATGATGATGCCACATACCCTTGTGTAATTGTGTAAGACTTTTTGTAAAAGTTACCGTAAACTAATATGAATTAGCTTATATCACTTGATGTGTTAAATAATAAAAGTGTTGTAAATGTGATTGGGATGAGTTAAATTTATTTATATGTTTGAGGAAATTTCCGCATCCTCTTCTCCTATCACCTCCATCGCCCATCACAGTAATACAGAATCATACTCCGTCCCGGCCAGCAGCACTAAACAGGCTTTGTTCAATATGAATACATCAACATTTCGAGCTTCATTGCGGGAACAGTGTTTACGGAGCAACACAGTATTTGACACTGGAGAAGTCGGCTAAGGCTTCTTATTAAGGTTCCAAACCGCAGACACCCGAATATGTCTCGGTAACGGGTTTAGTTACGCCTAAGTATTCATGTTGAACAATCCTATGAGAAAAGCATATCAAAATTTACTGATATGACAATTGAGAAACCTGTAACATTGAACAATTTCATGTTAGAAGTGCTTAGAACACATTTATCCAACATTGGTGGCCATCTCACTTAAAAGCATTTAAAAGCTTCACCATTTGCAACAAGCAATACTCTGTGTCTCTGTATCTATTTAGGTATGTGCTGTTTGGCTTTCATGAATGTAGAAAGTAGACTTGAGTCTGCATAGTGTTCTGCAAATCATGATATAAGCTAATTCATCTCACTTGGTGTACTCCAAAAGATAGACATCACACTATCACAGTCATGTTGAGTATTCATCAGAAATGTAGTGAATACTCTTTGCAAAAGTGAACTTTCTTGTTTCTTGTAATGGCTGTGAACTTTTTGTTTTCCAATTGTTGATGTACCAAATAAATGTCCATAATATAGTACTCAGTCCAAAATAGAGTCCCATTTCAGAAACTACCTTGACTTTTTTTACATTGCTATTTCAACAAATAAGGCTACTTCTTGGAAAAAGTATTGAACTAATTACTTATACTATGCTTAGTTAAATAAAAAATAAACTGAAAAGTATAAGTAGGATTGATGATTTATAAGGTTTGTACATCAAAATTAAAAGGTGTTACATTGGTGAAATATCATCCAACTAATTCAACATTTCCAAGTAATTTTAGTTGAATATCATCAAATTCATCATACTTGATGATGATTGCATATGGTTAAAACTTAAAAATGGATTCTTTGTGCTCACAAGCAATAAGCTTTCTGGTAAATACATCATTGATTTGTCAAGTGACGCGTAACATGTTTTAATTGTATCTCTAACTCAAAATGCTAGAGGAGTAATGCGGTGCTATAGATCATCATCATTACCCCAGTGCCGCAAAGGCTCCCACCTACTGTGGGGTAAGGGAATGCGATGCTATAGATCCAGCAAATTTTTTAGGTAATTAAATGGACATATATATCTTTTACTATCCCAAGTGGAATTTTGTTATTGGAATGCTGATCCTACAGTTTTTCTCTAAAATGGTAGTCACTATTAATTTTCTGCCCTGAAGGATTGCAGTTTGATGAGGGCAGTCATTTCTTCAGGAAAGGAATGCATGCCACAGGGTGTTATATGCAATCCATACATAAATCCACGCACAACTGTGTACCTAAACTACTTAAAATGTCCTAAATTTTGAATATTAAGAAGGTATTTAAGGACATACAAGAACTATTTTAACAAATTGATCTTGATATGTTCTACCTCAGATGTGAAGCTGAGAATGTTCGTGTAGTGCTGCTTATTATAACTTACAGCAGTCTGGAATTTTGCTGCCTACTACTACTATGGATTTACCTGTTCAGTGTGGAAAGAAAGGAGTTTTACAGTCTAAGATGGAATTGATGGTAAGCTAGGCAAATCAATAAATTTGATCATTTCCAACAATGGATTTATGGAATATGTTAACAGTTCCGTGATATGCTTCTTAATTAGGACCTGCATACTTTGAACTTCTGTTCTTTATTATAGAAAGAGTATTTCTTTCTATAAATGAATGCAACCATTAACTTTTTTTTATCTTCACTTTGAGTGGACAAAATTAATAGTTTGCTTGTGTTTTTACTTCATAGTCATAAAAATCCGAACACCAATATGATATAAGAAAACACAAGAAACTTATAAAAACAAGAAACATAATAAGGTCAGTACAAAGTTTCTCCGTATGAAAATAAAGTTATCCCAAGTGCTCACAATAATAGCAGTTTTTCCTTTCCAGCTTGTGAGAGTAAATTAATTGTCTAATAATCTCAGTTTTTTGCATATTGTGGCCACTGGCCATTACTGTCACAAAGAAGAAACAGAAAGTGCATATCAACCTCCTCCGTCTTCACTATCTTACCCTGCACACCAAAAGTCTAATTTAAAGATTAAGATCTGATCGTCTTATTTAAATTATTCAGAACTTCTTTATTAGGCCATATCTTGGATTTTGATCGATCTTTATTCTGTCAGATTGAGCTTGTGACTGCATCACACACTTCATTACTAGCATGTCTGTGGTGAAGGTATCCTCTTCTGATCCCCAGTTGGAATCTCCATTGGCCCTACAGACATCGGTTGTTGAGTTTGGTCCACTCTTTACGTTTTTGCATGTAACGTTGATTTTACAAGAATGAGAAGGAATGGAATAAAGCAAAATGACTCACTAAACTGTCTGCGCTTCTTTGTTATGAAGCAACAGTCAGTCCATGCAATTTTGGACGGGATTTTCACTATGGGTCATCCGGAAACAGTCTCTTTGTGCTTTAGTACAGGGGTAAGACTGCGTACATCCGATCCCCCCTTACCCCACCGTAGGTGGGAGCCTTTGCGGCACTGGGGTAAATGAAAATGAATGAAATGAAAATGATGAGAAGGAATGGATTCTTGAACCTTCTAAGCCAATCATAGTCAAATTGACATTTATTTTTGAAGTGGTAAACAGGGTAAAATGTAGGTATTGAGATTTGAGAAACAGTATTTGCATCTATCCTTTATAGAAGAATTAAGAAATAGTGTTCTTTTATATCCACTATTATTCAAACGATGTACAAGCTGCATCGTTTTTGTACTTTCCCAAAGTTCCAGGAAGTGAAACTATTGATGCTTTGGCAGTTGTAGTGAATTAGGAACTGAAACTTGTAGCTCCACTGCTCCAGTGCATTCTGATAACCTATTTTTTTTGTATATAGGTTTGACATACATTCCGATTTCCATTTCCACTGAAAATAATGTTACTAGCAAGGCAACAATGTTACTTGTTCTGTTTGAGATATAAGGCCTACATTGTGCATTACACTTAAAATGTTACATATATTGTTTGTAATGTTACGTGGTGTTAACAATGGTATTTACATCGTTTCTTTGATGTCATTCTGGGAAACGTTAATGCTTCATTGTGCAGATTGTGACACCCCAAGAAACATGTCTTCCCCCCAGTGAAATATCATCTATAATCTATTCTTTCAAGGATAGGTTTGCATTGGAACGCCATTCTTATATTAAGGTGCATTTTCAATTTCCCTAGTTCTTGTGGTTGTTGATTCAGATAGTACAAAATTGTAACAACAAAGTGCATATATTGTTATTCCCTTAGAAAAAGATCGAGGACAAAACACGTGAGTTGGCTGGTGTAACTAGAGGTATTTACAAGTTGGCAACTGGAAGAAGAGATCCCCAGATTCTCTCTGGTAATGGAATTGTAGATATACTATCAAAGAGGCAGAAAGATGCTATTGATATGCAAAATGGAATTGCTACTAGCGACAGAAATAAAAATATTAGCTGTGAGGATGATGGTTATGCGTCTGTAGTTCTTCTAGGGTACAGCATTGCTGCCAAGAAATCTGTTCGCCCTATTGTACTTCCAAAAGTGGAAAAACTGCCTCACTTCACTACATGGGCTTTTCTACGTAGGTGAGTTATTGGTGCTTCTTGTCTCCCTCCGAACACCTATTACTTGAATGCAGTTTGCTCAACTGAAGGAGACTTATCTTACCTCCTTGCCAAAATAACTTGAAGGAAAAACTTAAGATGTATTTAGTAGTATGTCACTCACTCAATATTTATTATTAGACTTGTTTGCATTAAAATAGATGGTTTGATCGTTGTCTATAACTCTAATACTCCCTCCGTCTCATTAGACTTTGCCAACTTTCCTTTTTTGGTTGTCCCAAAAAACTTTGCCACTTTCCTATTAAAGCAACTAATTTGTGGTTTTGCACATTTCTCTCTCCTCTTCACAAATCTCAACCACACAGTTTTTACTATTCTTATTTCTCACCTACTTTGCACTTGGCAAAGTCCACCGGGATGGAGGTAGTATATTGTTTGTGTATTTAGAATTTGCTTGTAAAGTCTTGAACTAGTTAGTTGTCACACTTGATTGTAATTAAATAATTTCTCAGATCTTTTTATTATTATTACTATTATTAAAGAAATTGCCTAAAATAGGAGTAAAACATGGGCAAAGTTAAAAAAAAGGACTAAGCATGTTTTCTTCCCAAAATAGGACTTATATTGTCATATTAAAATAATAAAACATTAAAAGTATCCCAAAATAGGTGTGAATGAATCATGTTTTGGGAATAAAATAATGACACTCCTATTTGAAGAATTATGCGATGTTTTATTCCTACTTAAGGATTTTTCTCTTATTGTTATTCTTATTGTTGTTATTTTATGACTATTATTATTATCATCATCATCACTAGCTATTTATACTTTCTTTATTTTATTAATATACTATCGTATACTACTCTGTATTATATTGTTTGCTACAATAGGGTTTGACACAAAATTTAAGGGAAAACTAGTAGGAAACATAGAAAAAATAGGAGAGAAGATGTAAACAGTAAAAGTATGAAATAGAATATGAAAAGTAGAAAAAGTGAGGGTAAATGAGTATTTTTAAAGGACCCAAACAGGGAAAGTGTAGCAAACAAAAAAATACTTCCCAAAAGGAAAGTGTAGAAAGTAAAAGAATATGGAGGGAGTATAACTACAGTAACTCTATGATAAATGATAAAACTGTAAAAGATAGAATGGAGTGGATAGCAGCGTAGCACCTTGAAAACACATTGTTAGCCTGGAGCCACGGATAATTTTGCTCTTTTCATCACCTAATTTGTTGACTTGAGTTAGTGTACATATCCTCTTTCAACTTAATTTGTATTTGCTAGAAATCAAGTGCATGTGCTTTGGGCTTTGGCATGAAATCTGATTCTAGTGGAAATTTTTCAGAAACGAAAAGATGACTGAGGATCAATCGGTGTTAGGTCGCAGAAGAATCTATTATGACCAGAATGATGGTGAAGCTCTAATTTGTAGTGATAGTGAGGAAGAAAGAATTGAAAAGGAAGAAGAAAAGGAATTTGTGGACTCTGAAGACTATATTCTGCGGTTTGTCAAATTATGCCCACTTGTTATCGTTTCTGTTTGCTCCTTTAGGAATGACTTCTTTTGGTACTTTTTTCAAACAAAATATGTTGTATGGAGCTTTCCCCACTTGACAATACACATTGTCTCTATACATGAACAAAAACCTTAGCATGCTATATTGAAAAGGTTGGATTGTCTGATATGTGTTACACTTATTGTGTCAGCATTCGACACGGACTACCATGCATCAGACATTAATCACTGTCGTTATTAAATATCTTGATTTTATACTTTTTTATTCTAGAATGACTGTTGAAGAGGCTGGATTGTCTGATATGGTGTTGCATTTGCTCGCCAATTTCTTTTCTAGAAAGCCCAGTGAAGTAAAGGTATAAACTATTTTCTTGATTTTCTAATGTTCTCATGCGTGTATCCCCTGACTAATAGAAGCGTTTTGGTGTGACTTTTTAGTCCAGCTGCTTTTCATTTGTTTTTTGCTGACTTTACGGATATGATCCACATCAAAATTTTATACAGGCAAGATATGAATATCTGATCAAGGAAGAAGCTACTTCTAAAAATGAAAACTCTGAAGTCACCCTGGTTTCATATCTGGACAGGGATCTTGATGCAGCTCTGGATTCATTCGACAATCTATTTTGCCGGAGATGTTTTGTAAGCAACAATAATTGATACCTGCTTCTCTTTCATTTTGGAAAGTGAATTCTAATGGGTTTACAATAGGTCATGGGTCTTAGTGTGCGGTGTGTCATAATCATCATTATCCCTTCAAATCCCTATTGTGTTAGGGCCAGAAGCACGAAATTTGTAGTCTCAATTAATAATCTTGCATTTGTGAACACTCTATACTCATGCATAAAAGCACAGTAGCAAAGTTGTGCGATGGATGTCATCCTGTTACAAGTTGCAGCCATGAGATGAAATTCCAAATCGACATCATCACAGATTTGTTTTCACTCACATGATAAAATATTATGATAAAGACAATGAATTCAAATAGTTTCTATCAGGTGTGACTTCCTGTCTCATTCTGAAGAACTCTTCTGATCCTTAATTTAGTACAGGATCGGCCCCTACCATTATTATTATAATGCATTATGATACCAGTTCTTCAAAAAGAGCAATCACATGACTGTCCTAGAACCATATCAAACTAAACTGTCCTGAACTCTTACAAAGAACTGGATGCATATGTGTGTGTCCGTATAGGTATAGAGCGAAAGAGTGAAAATAATTATAAGTGTAAGGCAACACACCCTAAAACCTAACCCACTAAAATTATTCCATTGGCCCAAAATATGATACTTTCTTGTACTCATTACTAAATATGCCCTCAATATAAAGCCAGTGTTCAACTTGTTATGATAAATCTGTTATGTACATTATTTGAAAACTGGATGATAGCAGAGAACTCTCTTGGACCTTACTGAAAGTTGGTACTTAACGGGACATGTGCTATTCACTTTTGTGATGGTACCTACTCTTTAATTTTTAGATGACAAGATTTTTTAATTACCTCCCATACCTTCGTATACTCAGCTTAAGTGTCTATAGTTGATGCCCATTGCAATGTTGATATAGTAAGATCAACACACACATCGTGGAACACTGGAACATGACCATGTTCTAGTGCATGGGTCTGACTTTGGTTATTTCAGCTTTCATATCTTATCATAAATTTACTTATTTCCTCCCATCGGCTGTAGGTATTTGATTGTCAATTACATGGGTGCTCACAGGATCTTATTTTTCCGGTAAGTCTTTGTAAATTTGCATCCTTTCTTGTTTCCTCCATCTCGAAATTCTCTTCTCATTTCCTTTATTCATATTTGTTTTCATAACAAGTCTGCGAAAAGAAAATGGCAAGCTAATTTGGGAATGGAGAGATGTTTTTATTGAAAAAAATGTCAAAGCCATTAAAGTTGTCAGATAGTGATTTTTTTTCTTTTTTTAATTAATTTTAACAGGCTGAAAAACAACTCCCTTGGTTTTGTGCTGATGCAAATGAGGGACCTTGTGGCCTTGATTGTTATCTTGCAGTAATATGCTGTTCTTGCTACCATTGTTTTTTAGGGTGACTTTTGGCTTGACATCTATAATAACTACCTCTGCATGACTACTTATCATATCTTCCTATGCGTATTCTGATTAACTTTAGGTCATCAATAAAAAAAGCAAACCCAATTTGGCATCTCACCAAATAGTTATTCATGAAGAAGACTGTATTCTGTCACCTGAAGAATCTAGCACGGAAGTCCCAAGGAATATAAACATAAAAAAGGAATCATGTAAAAACAGAGGTGACAGCCGGAGCAGCAAGTGGATGCTTACACAAGCTCATGTTGCCGGAGAGAAGAGACCAAAGAAAAGGATATCTTCTAGATCTTACTCTCTTAGAAATTCAAGCTCAAAGGGTTTGTGTCTACCTTCACATACACAAATTGATGATGCCATTTTATCTAGTAGGAAAGATTCTTCAGTTCCGAAGACCATTAATTCTTTGCTGGATACTGCTGCTGGAATAAATCTGAATGAACCTGTAAATTATCAACGCATGACTAGTGATTATGAAACTGCAAAAGAAGATGCATTTTTAGATGAACATACTTCGAAGATAGAAGGGTGCAGCAATAATGTTTGGAGGCCACTTGAAAAGGCTCTCTTTGAAAAGGGTCTAGAGATCTTTGGTAGCAGCAGGTTAGCGAAATTACTAATTAAGGGTCGTAGTTTAGTTTCAATACATTCATCAATATTTTTTTGTTAATCCTCTAGCCAGAGCTATCTTATTTTCGAACAGCTGTTTGATTGCTCGTAATCTCATGAATGGTCTGAGGTCATGCTTAGAGGTTTTTCAGTATATGAACCTGCCTGATAATAAGACATCCAGTCAACCAAACATTGGTATTGAAGTCGTGGTCGGTATTTTCACTTACTTTACACTCCATTCATCCAACTCAGTGGGGTTTCGACATGCCATCATGTTAAGTTCGATTGAAACTGTTATAGGGTAATGAAGCACAGAAAAAACCAAGATATGCACGCCGAAGAGGTAGAGTTCGTCGCTTAAAATATACATGTAGATCAGGTGGACATCATTCGATAAGGAAGCGGATATCTGAGAAGAAGGAGGAACTTGAAAAGCACTATACTCCCTGCAATTGTCAATCTCATTGTGGAAAGAGTTGTCCTTGCAGTATAAAATCAGGCAGCTGCGAAAAATTCTGCGGGTAGCAAACTATTTTTTGGACCTGATTACTCTTTTGAATGAGTAGAATTAACCCTTCAGTCTATGCTTTGGAACACGGGAGAATGACAGGAAAAGGAAAACAATGCTAAAGATTTACTTATTTAATTGTTTGGCACTTCGGCTTTACCTTGGAAAACATGAAGGAAACTCAAATATGGTTAGATTTTGTACGAAATTTACAGCTATTTAACAATATTGGGGTTCGAAATGGAGTAATGGACCCTTAAAATCATAACAGAAGCAGTTAGCAATGCACTGTGCAGCTAATGAGAAAAAAGCCTGTGCATCATGTCTTCTGTATTTCCTTTTTTCCTTATTTTTCTATCTTTTCTATTTGTGCTCCTATGGAAGTGCATCCGACCCTCATTAGTGACAGAATAAACTGATTGTTTTGAAGTGCTTTTTTTTCTATTGCCTAGATGCTCAAAGAATTGCCTGCTACAATTCCGAGGGTGTCACTGTTCAAAAAGTCAGTGTACAGCTGATGATTGTCCATGCTATGCAGCTCGAAGAGAATGCGATCCTGATATTTGCCATAATTGCTGGGTTGGGTGAGCACTCATTTTTGGTGATATTTGTTGTTGTTTTGTGTTTGTTTGGATGTGAAAGTAGCTATTATGAAAACAATGTTCTCCGGCCGTGTACAAAGTGGGTTATTTAACATGTATTTTCAATATGTAGTTTCAAGACTCATTTTATCTTTGTGCTCAGCATGCACATATAAATTTAGAATACTTCCAACAAATTTAATATTCTTTCTAATTACCACAAAACAGATGAATGCTCATCATCAACACCTGTGTTCTCTATCATGTTGAGGCTAGTGGTATGAAATGTGTAGTGTAAAATAGTTTTCTAAAAGTAGTCACAATTTTTTTATGCCAAATGCATTTCCAATTGCATTCTTAGCAAGGAATTATGAGATGAAATCCCATAACTGTTCATGTTCATAAGTTTTTCACCTGCATACATAATGAGTTAATGATGATACAACAGAGATGATATGCTCATGTCCTATTACAAGATTGATATTGTAACTGAGAACAACTAAATGCCTACATTATACATGAGTTTATTTGAAAATAGAATGCCACCAAGCACCTCTAGTGGTGTTTGATAATTGATTACTCATCTTTTTAAATCAGATAGTATTTATGAAAAGATCTCTAGTGTTAAGACTTAAGAGAGCCATCCCTCTGTGTATGTCACATCCCTGATCCTTAAGTACTCATTTCATCTATGCATAAAGCAATGTATCCCAAAAGGTATGAACTCTGGCATTGGATTTCTCTTCAGATTGCTGCTTCAAACTATTTATGCTGGTTTAATTGCTTTGTAGTTGTGGTGATGGTTCTATTGGGGTTCATCCGCCAAGAGCCTCAAATCACAAATGCATGAATATGAAATTACTTCTGAGACAACATCAAAAGGTTATTGTTGCTTGCCGCATTCTGAAATTGCTTAGCGACCATATTTTAATATTTATAGCGTCTTTTAATTCTATACGAAGTATGTATTACTTTGAGTTTTAACAAACAAACAACAATATTACTCTAGTGCCGCAAAGGCTCCCACCTATGGTGGGGGTAGGGGGGTCGGATGTACGCAGCCTTACCCCTGTACTAAAGCACAGAGAGACTGTTTCCAAATGACCCATGATGAAAATCGTGTTGAAAATTACATGGACTGACTGATGCTTCATAATAAAGAAGCGCAGACAGTCTAGTTAGCCATTTTGCGTTGTTCCATCATATTACCAAATCAAAAAATAGTGAGTCTTTGGCTCCATTGGAAATGTTTGTGCTTATTTTAATTAAACTAATGTTAATTTTATTTTTAGTAGGGATTCACATGGATACCAAAGACTCATTAAAGCAAAATGATTTACTAAACTGTATGTGCTTTCTTGTTATGAAGCAGCAGTAAGTCCATGTCATTTTTGACTCGATTTGCATCATGGGTCATCTGTCTTTGTGCTTTAGTACATGGGTAAGATTGCGTACATCTGACCCCCTTACCCTACCGTAGGTGGGAGCGTTTGTGGTACTGAGGTAATGTTGTTGTTGTATTCACATGGATACCCACATCCCACACATCGAATGTGTTTTTATTATTATTTTACGAGGAGTGCTACTTGTACACACTTGTTGTACACACTGCCTAGTTGCATGTGTAAACAGGAGCTTCTGAACGAGCTGCCTAGTTGCATGTGTACACAGGCAACTGGGGGGTGTACAAATGGTTTTTTCCTTATTTTACATCTTGTAGTGGGATGGTAGCTGACGGTGGATGTGGTTCATTTTTTAATAACATTTCTTGCAAGTCCTTTTGCAGTTTTGGAACTCAAAGTATGTTCCCTAGTGTAGTTTCCCTACCCTTTTGTTTTATATTCAGGTTCTTCTTGGAAGATCTAGTATAGTTGGATGGGGAGCTTTCTTAAAGGTAATACAGGAATCTCCTGCTTTTCAAATTGAGTTTACCAGTATAGAAAGCTTAAATTTGTATTTTGATGCATTCAGGATAGTGTAAAAAAGAATGATTTCATCGGGGAGTACACTGGTGAAGTAATCTCGCACTTCGAAGCTGATAAGCGTGGCAAAGTCTATGATCGTGAAAATTATTCATTCCTCTTCAATCTCAATGATTTGGTAAGACATTATTTTCACCTGCTGATCGACGTCTAACATTCACATGCAGAAGATCACTTGGATAGTTGGATAGATGTGTAGTCATATTTGTAAACAATGACAATTAGAATAGAACATCCAAGTTTAGACAATAAATGAGTAAAGGACTTGAGTAACTTTGAAAACTTTGTAAATACTTGCAACTTTAAAAACACAATATGTGTGCATCAGTGTTTGTGTGTGTGTTTGTGCATACTCGCGTGCATATATGTAGGCACACATGTCCATTTCATTTTTTTAATACATTGGAAAAGCAACCATATACATGTACATAATATGTGCATCTGTGTGTGTCAATATATCTCTGTCTATATATATGTATACTTGTGTGTATGCTACAATTCAAGTAAGACCCCGGTGACAATGTGGTGAGACCAGCTTTTATTTTGGCCATTAGGTCACTTCAAGGTTTTAGATATTTCTGCTCATTCGTATCAAGTATTTATTTCAGTAGTTATATTTTCAAATTGTTTGAAGATGGATGTTAGAAACTCACTTTTTTCCATTAGAAATGATCTAACAGTAAAGATTTCTCCATCATTAGAAAAGGACTTCCCTCGTCTATCTTCGGTGAAATTGAATACATACCTCTGTGTATGCATGTAATTATGTATGTCTGTGTGTGTGTCTATATATATATATATATATATCTTTGCCCCCATTTCTTTTGGTTCAATTGCTTATATGTTTTGCATACAGTTTGTTGTTGATGCTTACAGAAAGGGAAACAAATTGAAGTTTGCCAACCATTCACTTCAACCAAACTGTGTTGCAAAGGTAAACTGAATGTGTAATGTTTTAAGTACTCCCCTTCTGTGTCTGCTTCCTTTTTATTTTAGTTCTTTCAAATAATAATGTTCCAGGTGGGTCACATTTTGGCAGGTGATCATGGTAGGAGGAGATCACAGGATTGGCATATATGCTTTGACACCGATACATTCTGGAGACGAACTGCTTTATGATTACCGATATGACCCTGACAACTGTCCTGCCTGGGCAAAAGATCTTATGGGGTCCACCTGTTCTAAGAAGGGTGATGGTCGACCTTCAGGCAGTCGTGCTAAGAAGCATACATAAGTATGTATTTTTTTCGGTCATTTCCCACATAAAGCATGTTTTTGTCATTGCCAGAGACGACTCATAATGGTCAATCTTAGTATGACTAATCATACTCTCTTGATTTATTTTTGGATTAGACAACTGCATTTTTTTCTTGAGAACTATAGTATCTTATGTGGGATTTACCATCATTTCACTCTTGGCACTCTCTACCCTTACAATGTTTTTAATTGCTCATGTACGGAGTACTCGTATATCTTTAATCGTCATCAAGCAACACTGCAACAGTATTTAGTAAATGGTGTCGTAATTCTTTGAGATTATTAGTACAGATTTTGCATGTAAAAAAGCATAGTTCGTTTTTGAGCCAGAATGCATTGTAATCGAGTATGGACCCGGTCCGGTTCCGGTCCCTGATCAGTAGCCGGGCCCCGGGGTTCTCTATTCTGGTCGACTGGTGGGTACATGGTCTTTTTTTCTAAATTTCAAGTTTGAGTGTAGAAAAACTATATGCATTATTTATGAAATGATCTAAGTAGTATTTATTAGAGTTTGATAAATTGAATTTTGAATGCAAAACGTAAGAACTAGTACAAATTGTAGTCATTGGAACAACAACATTATCCCAGTGCCGCAAAGACTCCCCCACTAATGGTGGGGTAAGGTAGTCAAATGTACGCAGCCTTACCCTTGTACTACAAATAGAGAGATTGTTTTCGGATGACCCATGATAAAAATTGCGTCGAAATTTGCATGGATTGACTAGGGGTGGACCAGGCTTGGGTCTGACCGGGCCCTGGGCTGGGATTGGGGTGGGAATGAGTTTTGGGATGAAGGCCTGGTACCGGCCCGAGTTGGAACTGGGCTCGGGTCATGTCGGGTAAAGGTATTTTTAAAAAAAATGTTTGAAGTGGAAGAAAAAAATTTAGCCCGGTCCCCCTTTTCCTTGTCCCGTAGGCCGTAGCCTGCCCCCTACCCTCGGTTCGGGCACCATGGACTAGAGCTGTCAAACGGGTCGACCCAACCCGATCCACGACGGGTTATGCTTTATGTGGGTTGGGTCGGGCCAACCCATTTAGTGACGGGACAGGATTTCTACAACCCTAACCTAACCCACCTAACCTGTGAGTTAAACGGGTTGGCCCGCGGGCCAATGTAAAAAAAATATGATAAAAGATTCTTTAAAAAACATTACCTTGGAGTATATATATATTTTAGAAATTAGTAATAAGGGATATATTAGAAATCAAAATACTAAGAACTCAATACTTGTTAAGTTTAATTAAAAATATTAACTACTACCTCCGTCCCGCTGGAAGGTTCCCATAGCAAAACGACACGGTTATTTAGACAATAATTAAATAAAGTACATTGAGTATATTTTGAGAAATAATTTTAATATGTATATATTATAATGTAGTTAGTATTGATAATTGTGATGTTATAAATATATTATTTTTAATGATTAATGATTAGTTTGTCACTTAAGATTGTTAATTGTTTCCTAAAATGGAAATGAGAACCTTCTAACGGGACGTCCAAAAAAGGAAAGTGGGAACCTTCTAATGGATGAAGGGAGTACTAGTTATACGAAAATTTGAAAACTATAAGAAGGTATGTAACAAAAATATTCATTGTATAAAAGTAAAGAACTATTTAAACCTTTTGATTGATTATTTGTAAATCATGACTAGTAATTGCTAAATATTGTATCGAACTTCACATAAAATATATGTTTCAACATTTTATTTGAATATTTATTATAGAAATAATAATTTTTTTGCAATTGTTGTAATTTTTTAATCATAATTATAATGTTTTTGATAGTAAAAGAACAATATTGAAGATAATAAAAGTCAAAACTATGTTTGTATATTGGCCCGCGGGCCAACCCACTTAAACACGCGAACTAAACGGATCAGAAAATCACAATCCTAACCCACCAATAAATGGGTTTAAACGGATCAGTCCGCAGGGTTTTGGCCCATTTTGACGGCTCTACCATGGACCCTTACTGCTTCATAATAGTATTGCAAAAACTAGTACAATTGAATTAATAGAATACTACAATGACATGCATAAATCCTGATTCAATATGAAATGATGTATAACATTTGAATAATTAAAAAATGAACACAACATGTATTCATTGTTGGCATCAACAAGTGTTGAGTGCTTTGTAAGGAAATGTTCGTGTAGTGTACCATAATTTTGCTTTCTTATTTTTCAAGCACAAAATCTTACGGTAATGCACATGTTTTTGCCACTTTTAATCCTCTAACTATTATGTCACTGACACTTTTAGTATTGACTTTGATTTTTTCCATTTGTAATCATTGACTACTGTGTTAGACACGCTTTTGGTACTCGTTTTTAAACAAATCCATATTCAATCATTCAACTTTCATAAAAGTGATGTTTTTTATCCTTCAACTATTATAATAGTGACATTTTTATTTCTCCACTTATTGTGTCAAAATCATAGTGAAAGGACTAAAAATGTCAATTTTATAATATTCAGAGGACTAAATGTGTGACACTTTTAAATCGAGGACTAAATGTGTCTCTAGGGCAATAGTCAAGTACTAAAAATGGAAATGTTAAAAGTTGGGTACCAAAAGTGTCAATGACACTAATCACACTATAGTCAGGGGCCGAAAGTGGCAAAAACTCTTTTGTTTGAGACGTTCTTATTGAAATCGTAGTGAGTTAACATTGCAAGAAAGATATTGGAGGGTTTCGTGAAGAATGAAGGGAAATGGGGGAAATAAAAATTAAGTTGAAGATGGGATTAGTAGAGTAGACATGGACCCGGTCCATAACCGGGTTTGGTACTGCGTTGACCAGACTAGGTTCATTTTTATGGTTCTAGGCAATAGACCGGTCATGTCCGGAATTTTCAGGTACCTAGTCCTGGGTTCCTACTCTTGGGTCTGAATCGGACAGTCCTGACCCCTGTTTCTTTCATCTTTCATATTTATCACATCTCATCTTCACCATTCTTCATATCAATATATCACCTCGTGTTTCCTTCTTCAGCAATTTCCGTCTTCACCACCTTCCATAATCCATGTTCACCGTATAAACTTGTGTCATATCTCACCTTATCTACTTCATCACTGAAGTTTGGGTCATTGGAAATGTCCTTTGGAAAAACAATTGAAATGTCATTAGTAAAACATTGTTTGTATCATCCTGACTTTTGATAAAATTTATCTCTGTGGAGAAATTAAATGAAAAATTCACAAGTGTTTGTTAACATGGTTGCGCACAAAAAACATATGTGAACAAACATTTTTTGTTTGTATACAAACAACTATTGTCTATATGCGGACATTGGTTTGTGTGTAAATCATATTAATTTGTGTTTTTGCAGAAAAGTTAGGCTTAGGTTGCATGGAAATCAATGGTTGTGTATACAGACATTAGTTGTCTGTATACTAACAAAACTTGTGTACTTATACATTTTTGTCTGTTTACACAAACATTGGTTTCTGTGCAACCTAACCTTAACTTTTATGCAATATTTTTGCTTGTGTATACTGACACTTAAATAAAATTAGGAAAAATTGACAAGAATAATCCCACCTTTCACTGATCTTCTCATAATAATCCTACCTTTACGTAATCCCAAAATAATCTCACTTTTGCACCCTATCTTCTTTCATTGGACTCTGACCAAGTTTTTTACCTTTCTTTGAAAATCTTATATAAATAATCTCACATTTATAAAGATATAATAGAAAAGTGAAAGGTAAGATTATTTATATGATTTTCAAAAAAAGAGTAAAAAACATGGTCAGGGTCCAATGAAAGAAGATGGGATGCAAAGGTAGGATTATTCTGGGATTGTCTATGGCTAAAGTTTACAAAATCTTATTAGTTTTTCAGATTCTGTTTTCCCTACAGACAAATTATATCATTATTCAACATGACACAAACAATATCTTATATACCACACAGACAAAAATTTAGCGGTCATTCATCTTTAATTTTCTGATGATTTTTTGGTGACTCTAACACATCATTTTTTCCTGATGCATAAACAAAAGTGAAGGTGAAAATGATGATGGTGAAGATGAGGTATGAATAAAAGGTAAAAAGAAAGAAAAAGAGAGTAGGAAAGAAAAAATTAAGAAGAAAGAAAAAAGTAAGAGGGTGATCATCGATTCCTATATGATAGAGAGGCAAGAAGGTAAAAAATTTTGGAGGAAGTTTATATATCATGTACCCCAAGGTGTACACCCAGTGTGTACCTAGCAAAATTGTTTTAAAATATCGTTAAAATTAAACTTATTGACAAAATTGTGATTGAAATTGTAAGTAGTATGTCATTAAAAATGTGTAAAATCGAATATAATTGTATTCACACAAAAAAAATCAGAACTAAAAACCTAAAAACTAACAATTTATTTGAAGATATATCTGAATGCTAACAAACTTTGTTCCGAAAATTTGAGGTTGTCTAGTGTTGTTCCATCATCTCTAATTCTCAACTCTTTGACTTTTGGTTTTCACTTTTGACAGAATTCTGTTTTGATCGTTTGTTTGGAAGAATGGAATAATTTAGTGTATTTAGGTCTGTCAGTTTTTTCTTTATGAACGAATGATTAATATAAATGCCCTAAATCAGGTCACGTCCTTACATTTTGGACTCAAGACAAAGGGGTCCTTGAAATTATAAAATTGAAAAACAAATTTTATTTTAAAAGAAAAGTTCAATACACAAAGGAAGTACTTTCATACAAACAATTATAGAAAAGCAATTTCTTCGAGTTCTACTAGATGCAAAATCATGATAATGTCATGGTCGCTATTATCCAATATTTCTTTCTCAATACATAAAATAGGGGTGGGTAAAAATAGAGAACCAGCATGGTACCGAACCGAACCGGTATGATATCGAACCAAAACGGAGTTCGAAACAGATCTCATAATTTTTGTCCCGAACCGGACCGTACCGATTCCAAACAATGTCATGATCGGTTCTCAAGAAATGAGAACCGGTACCAAACTGAACCGGACCGAAGTATTATTTAATTATTTAAATGTAATTTATATCATTACTTTGATTAGTGCCTTCACACTTTCACATCATTTGCTAGTTCATTGAAAGCTTGGAACCAGACCGAAGTACAGTTTAATTATTTAAATTTGTACTACTACAGTTTATCTAAAATTTATTAATTATGTAATATGAAAATTGATAAATTGTGTGGTCTTTTGGAGGATAGCTAAACATTAATCCCCTCTTAAACACTCGGAAAAAGTGGCATTGTTTGGTGTTGATATGGCATGGT